TCATTGGATTGGTTGCTAAGTCCTTCGGGACTGGAGACGCAAACAATAGTAAGTTTTCTCTCACTTCTGATTGATACACTTACACTTAGGCTACTCCCTTTGTCTTCACGTCTCTCTATCTTGGTGCTGCTAATGTAGTAGGGCGTCTTGACCTGCTTCTCGAATATGGTTCGCTCACTGAGAACCATATCAGCGTGGTAGGTTCTGTATCCTCCCTCTTGGAAACTTTGATCTTATTTGACTAACTCGGAAATGAATTCATCTCACTAGTGTCTTGCGTCGACTTCAGCGTCTTTTTCATTAACGGTGGCCTCTGCGGGTTGTTGACTTACACCGATCTTGGACACTTCGTTCTCACTCGAGTTTACTATCAACGACCAATCTAGTAAGTAACGTGAAATCTTGATCATTTGCAAATTCCACGGAACAACATGATTGAGATGATCTAGCTCTCACAATATCATAGGTCAAGCTGAATTTGAATGAAGAGGGGGAGAAGAATCGACAAACTCATGTTAACAATGAAGCAACAAATGGCGGTCAAAAGTATTTACATACTTAGGTAATTTTTGGTAAGTCGCGTGTCGCGTGTTACGATGTTTGAAGTTGTGGCTGACTTTCCGGTGTAGCCCGGCTGCTTCCGTGCTGTGGCTGAGGTACAACTCGGACCGGGTACGGTGGGGCCGCGGTCCCCGGTCTCAAAGTTTCTCCATGTCGCCCGCCCGACCTATCCGTCGGGGTCCGGATTCCGGCGTTTGCTCAGGGGCCATGCCGAAAGAAGCTAGAGTTGAACTAAAATTAATGGAAACCCCTTCAAAAGTGCAAATTCGAATTACGAATAGCTCGCTCTCGTAGAAATCACCCTAGAAGCGAAGTAAGTCTAAGTCCTTTGCTTGGGTCACTACTAGTCATGGACGGTGCTAATCGTTTGTGGCCCTGGAATCTGCTCTGTGCAATCACACTGCCCAGAGCTACTGCACCGCCCTGGCATGAGAATGCCCTGTGGGCAGAGGTTGACTTGAGCGAATGTCATGCGGTCAATTTTGCCATGGTCTTGTTCACTATTCAAGCCAGCAGGCCAAGACTATCCTTAAAGTGTGTACTGCAAGCGCGGAACACTATTATACAACGGGGCTACGTATGGAGAGATTGCCTGTGAGATCTGCTATAATACAGTTTACACTAATTTACTAAACGATTGACGAGGTAGATTCGCATATCGCGAGAGGCATCTCAAAGCCTGGCACACGTGTTGAAGTTGGGATATTTAAGCCAAGCAACTTCACCTTGTCTGTCAATCGAAATGGCACTTGCGACCGATCTAGAATCAGCAGTACAATTCCTTCTCCAGTCTAAGACACTACAAGATCCAAGATGTTGTCCTCAAAATTCTTCCGAGGCCTCTGCGCCCTCTTCATCCTCCTTCTCGGAGCCAGCTTCGCCACAGCCTCCCCGGTCGCGGTCAACGCTGAGCTAGACGCCCGCACTCCAACCGAAGACACCGCCGTCGCCGCTCGCGCTTCAGGCGGCGGCTGGTGCTGGCCCTTCTGCAACCCCTTTAGCGGCGGCGTCCCCAACGCCCCAAACCGCTTCGACTTCCGCCCTCCCGCGTCGACGGCCCGGGCGCAGTACTTTGACACCCCGGACAATCAAGTCACCCTCCGCGCCGAGACGCAAACCACCGGCGCCGTGCTGGTGACTGTCTCGGTCGGCACGCGGTACACTCTGCCCGCGCACGCCGAGATCAACGTGCGGCTTCTGGTGCGGGGTACGCACATCGATTTCAACCACGCTAATCTGCAGCTTGGGAGCGAGACGGCCGTTGTGAGGATTACGCCGGAGCAGGCTGCTGCTTTTAGGACTGGAGAGAGAAGCGAGGATGGGTCTTTCACAATCAGGCTGTTGTATAGGCTGGGACAGGACTTGTGAGAGAACCCTACGCTTGGTATCTGGTTCTGGGCATAGTACCGTATGCCGCCCCTGGGGCGGATCAGTATGGCTACATGCCTCGAGACAGGCAGCACTTACACGCCCAAGTGCACGCTCTCTGAGCCTGGTCAATGCCCCTCATGGATGACCGATTCAGTTAGCATGAAATAGACTCAATGGATCTCATTCAGAATGAAAACAATGACTTGTACTACATGATGATACCACCAATGTGAGAGAACACATGAAGACATCAACAGCAACCCTGCCCCGGGCGTTAATGGAGCGATTAGGTGCTGTGATCGAGCTCTCAGCCGCTGTAGGCCCTGTATCCCGCTGAGCCACTCTCCACTGTGACCTGGGCCCGTCTTCTGGTTCGGGGCGCAGAACGGTTTCAACTCTGACATCATGTCTTTCTTCCCAGGCATTGATTCAAGCAAACCCGTTGATGCGCCACAACGAGAGACAATGAGCTCGGAAACTCATGTTCTGCTCAGGAAGGATGTCATTTTTCATTTGCGTTCTTTTAATTCGAGTATTAAACTGAAGACAGGGGTATGTACAGTCTGTTAGCTCGCTCCTGCGAATATCGATCCTTGATTCTCCTTGACGTTGATTACCCGAGTATCGCTAATCCTCCGGCTTCCGGGGAAGTACGCGGTTTCCGGGCGGGGCCAGATCAGTTCCGTACTACGGGTGACAGCAGTGTGTGTCCCAATGAAATCTGATAGACACCTGCCGTGGAAAGCCTTTTCTCCTTGGCCATTACCGCTCACAGTACGGAGTACGGAATGCTCTAGTTCTTCTCTGTTGTACGTTTTCTTTGCTTCTTTCATAGTCAGTACCTCAAGCTTCATCACTGCCCTGGCTCACTTGTCGTGGAGTTCCAAGTTCCCCCACTGTCTCCAATGTAAGCTCATCCAGTGACATCATATCATGCCTTTACATTTCGGACATAGTTTGGCAGCAACTTTTTCTACAGGATGCAAACACCTCGAAAGAAACTCTCATCATTAATCTTATGCTCTGCAAAATCGCGAATACCAAGCTCAGCAGAGGATGCACACCTGACCACACGCGCACGCACCTCACCATTGAAACATCTTGCGGGGCAGGGCAGCGAGCACGAGTGCCAGTGAATGTCACCATAACACGCATAAAGTATGCAACAGTTAAGATCAATGAACTGCGATATTTCGAGTCAAGAAAAATGTCATTACGATAAATCGTTATCATACCAGAACAATAGCGCCCGCGAGCCATGCCGCTACTCTTACAAAACGCCTGAATCTTTCCTTCTCCGTCCATATCATGCATCATCCTGCGGCCGTGAATTGCAACAACTCCCGTGATTTCTCTCATGAGATAGGTACGCTCAAACAGTGCTCATGTGGTGGCAGCAGCAAGTCCAATCACCACCAGGCTCTTGCTTCCAAACACTATTGCAAATTCCCTCCGTCGCAACAAGCTTCTTCCCCTCCTGGCGCCACGCGGTGACTCTGTACACCAGGCTGGAGCTCATCATGTCAATCTCGACAAACTCGGGGTCGTCATGCATGCGGTACGCCGTCCAGGGCTCCCAGTCCTCCTCGAGGTACTCCTGGAGCGTCGGCTTGGATTTGGGCGAGAGGGGCTTCTGGCCAGGGTGGGCGAGAACGGCCTCCTTGTCGAGGTATCTCTTCAGGTGCTTTGTCTTGCTGTCGCACATTGCGCGCCAGAGGAGGGTCTCGGCTTCGATTGTGTCTTCCTTGTTGCGGGAGTAGATGGTTCCCGATCCCTTGTTCTCGTCGTCGGACATTGTGATGGTGTTCGTGTGGTTTGTTTTCTAGGGTGTTTTCTGTGTTTTCAGGACGGGTTCGAGTTCCTGTGTGTAATGGAACTGGTCTATCGCGAAGTTTCAATGGCCAAAGGTCGGAGTCAGTGGTATGAGGGGAACGGGGGCAAGTTAGAAAGTGTGCCAAAGAGCTTTATGATGTCGCTCAGAGCTCTGGCCTCCCTGAGCAGCGGCATTGCGTGTGACGGAGTCGTCCAAAAACAAGAAATCCTGGGTTCTGCTGCGCTGCATTGCGCGTCTGATTGGGCGGGCAGGGAAATGTTCCTGTGTTGGCGGGCTTGACGTCACACTCCGGTGGTGCGCAGCGGCGAAGAGGGGCCACCAGCGGCTCATTGCGGGGGAAGCCTTGAGAACTCACAAGCGTCAGCCGTGAGAGACAGGGGTTGGAACTTGGAAACAGGTTACTTCCACGAGGTCTAGACTCTCTTCTCTCACTCCACGCTCTCTCCCCTTCGGTGAGTAAGGTAAGGCAATGAGCAAAAGGCTCGAGAGGGCATGCGACCTCTGATGTAACGCGTGCACTGACGGGTCCGGGGGCAGCCCGGCCGAGAAGGTTCATCCACACAACTCTCGAGTGACAGAACAAATTCAATGTCTTTGATGAGTTACGCTAAGCAGCGTTGGTGGACTCGGCACGTCAACGTTGTAGCCGGCTCCGCCCGTCAGATCGTGGGCCGCCAGCAATGGCTTCGATCTATCGTTCAACGTCCCCATCGCGGCGCAAGGGCTAGACTGGCCTGTTTCTAGAGCCGATTTCTAGTGTCGCCAAACCTTTCAACTTACAATAGGGGAATAGTGAGCGACAGTGAGTGAGATACACGTCTACTGCCTTCAATGAGCTGCCTCATCTCATCTTGTTTCATTTCGGCTGGAGCGCACACCTCATGAACCGCCCACTCATGCTCACCGGGTAGCTCATTTGCCAACGACTAAATGAGTCTCAATGAGCCCCTTAAATGAGGGAAACCGGAAGACAGTCCTGATGCTCATCTTCATCTATAATTCTAGTCCCTACGATTTCAGGTCGTGAAGTTCTTCCCCTTAGCTGTTGTGTCAAGACATCTCAAAGCCTGACGCTCGGGTTAATTGAGCCACTGAAGAAATGACGTCAAGACTCCCATTTTCGGACAGCAACTGAGAACCAGCGTCTTTGAGTGCGAATGAGCCGACCGCAACTGAGCACTCACTATGAGTACACATATCAAGTTCATCAATCAATTCAAATACACTACGCATGATGGACGATTGGCAAGAAGCTGCTTTCACATCAAGACATGTTCACAACAAAGCAAGCAAGTCAAACAAAGGGGGCGGACGAGGACGACGCGGTGGGGCCTTCGAAGTCAAGAGAGCGTTTGGCAGATACGACATCAAATGCCCGAGCGCGACCAAAGTGAGAAATGGGAAGCCTGCTAGTCCGTCAATGGATATATTTCGGCTCTCGGAAGATGGCAGGGGGTTATTGGGACAGCTGAGCCTGCTCGGGGTTCTCGATGCCAGCATTATCTTGACCGGGAGTAGAAAGGTTCTTGAAGACCTGATATCGCAATTTGAAGAGAGCGACGAAGAGGCTGAAGTTTCTGATAAGTCCGGAGAAGATGATGGCTCGATCTCGAAGCACAAGATCAGCGAGGCTGAGAGGAAAGCAGACGACATCGATAAGCAGGAAGATGAAGCTGACGAAGGATCAGAAGAAGAGGAGGACGAGGAGGAGAGCGAGGTGGATGAGAAGAAACGGTTCAAGAACTTCGAGAAGAATAGCTTTCGCTCACCCAAATTCTGGTTCCAATGGAATGGAGACATCGCACCTACGACGACGTCCTTCCTAGATGACAAGACATCACCAACGCCTAGCCGGGAGACTGGAAGAGGCTACATCGTATTCTCTGGAAATGATTGCCGCTCTTTCAAAGGAACAATCAGCTGCGACTCTCTAGGTTGGAGGGACGTCTCGATATCTGGGTGGAAGGAGGTGTCCATGAGCGAGAGGGACGCTGCCTTTGTCTGGAAGTAATGTTTCAACTCAAGGCAGGACCGAAATCTGGTTACTTCAAAGATATAGGGCGGCGCGGCTATGAGTTGATACGTATCAAACTTGGAAGGGTCCGATGTAAAGAATGACTTGCGAGTCTTTTGCCTTCAGGGGCCGACGCAACAACCAACCTATCTGACCCCTTCCGTTACCAATTTCGCTCTCAATATTCAAGTCTTGACTTCATTCCCAGCCATCTTCGCCTGCAACGCCGCGTACATCCTATTCATCGCATTGCGGTTAAACTCCTCTCCTGTCACCATCGGATACTTCTTCAAGGGGCCCTGGATGACAGCCTCTTTACATGGCTGATTGAAGAAGGCCATGCTGTATCTTTCCCCATAGAAATCCCCCTCTTCACACGGCGCCTTAACCCGATGGTGTGTACTCTTGAACCGATCATCGCTCCAACTCATCAGCAAGTCCCCGATGTTGCATATGATGACCCCTGGCTTGATCTCGACCTTTGTCCATTCATCCCCAAGGGCATGCTCACTGACAGCCTCACGACCAGGACAAATCTCGAGTCCCGACTGCCCTTCGCGTTGGAACAGCAGCGTAAGGAAACCCCAGTCGGCGTGGGCGCCTGCACGATGATACACCTTCCCATCATTGACGCGCGGAGTTTCGTAGTAATGCAGAAGCCGGAGCACAGACTGTGCGCCGGGGCGGGCAGCATCGTGGTACTTGATGAAGTAGTCGTCCTCGAAGCCGAGACCACGGGCAAGGCAAAGCATCAACCGTTCCGAGATGGCTTGCACGCGATGCATGAACGTTAGAGACTTTTCTTTGAAGCCGGGGAGAATTTCGTCGCTAGCCCAGACCCCGTTCATGTTTTCGCCGAATTGAAGTTGATATGACTCCTTTTGGTCGGCTGCACCCGTGGACGGTCTGATCTGTGACAGCTTCTCCCAGCCGACGTTCTTGGGACTCCATGGTACGGTGGCTTTTGCCTCATCAGGTAGAGCGAAGAAGGACTCGGATACAGAGAACATCCTATCAACTTCGGATTGGCTGAGGCCGTGGTCCTTGATGGAAAAGAAGCCGACGTTCTCGGCGGCGTCACATAGCTGGGAGGTGATTTCATCGATTCGGCTGTCGAAATCACGGAGCGAGATCTAAGCAAGAAGGGGTTTGGTTACGTCTCCTCGCTTGGGGGCTTCCTCCTAGGGGAAGGATCCCTCACCTCGGGAATTCTCCGATGGACGTATCTTGTTCTTTGCGCCATGATGCTTCGCTTACCTGTGATGGTCGGGCAATCGATAACAATCTCAAGGGTAGAGGCCTCGATTGGAGTCTATCAAAGGGGCGGCGAATGACCGGAATCTTCTTTGCTGATGATAATCGCAACAATCAACTTGCAATTTAGTGTTATCTCCGATTTGAACAAGGAGGCCTCCTCGGCTTTCCGTGCATCCCGTTCGCGCTGCTGACCTTGAGATAAGATGATAACAAGGTACCTATCTATGTCCCGCTCGACAAAAGGCTCGGATTGGTTAACATTTGACACCACAACCTCGGCCGAACGACCCACAAGCTTCTTATAGGTGACACATTGATGCTTCTGCTTTGGCACAGTACACAATTGACACACGTCACCTCAGAAGCTGAAGGAACCAGAAAACTAGGTCCGCATACCCCTTTGATTAACCCAGCCGCACTCTCCTCTCCAGTATTTCCAAACAGCTGCCAGGCGCCAAACTTCACTGGGGACCAGGAGGCCCACGTTGAGCAGCCTCGGCTATGCCATCTTGGTTGATCCAAGGAAGCGAGCGCTCTGCCATCCGCGCAGCGTTGAGAATGCTCTGTATCTCCTCGCATACTTCCTTCGAATTCGCTCTCTCAAAATCTGTCCGTTTGAACATTGACGGCCTGACAATGATTTCGGTAGGGTCGTCAGTGCTGATTGGGGAGCTGCCCCTGATGTCCAGCTCCGATGCGCTGTTAGGCTGGAAGGCAACCTTGCGGCTTTCAATATTGGCTACCAACATTCGTTTCTCGATAAGGCTGATCAACCGTCCTACGGCGGTTTTTTTGATCGGAGTACACCGGGGGTCCTCCTGGATAGTCTTGATCCACCGTTTGACCGAGTCCTTGAGCTCAACCTCTGGGTCTTTTCTGTAGTATGGCTCGCTGGGTCCAACATCCTGGCGGAAGGACTTGAGAGTACTGTTGCCATACAAGACCCAGATGAGGAACTCAAGATAAAGGCATCCCAAAGACCAGATGTCGTATCGTCTCGACCGAGCGTTATGTGGTCTCAGCTCGGCCTCAGGAGGCGAGTACGTTCTCGTGCCCCGTTGCGGTTCCGTTTGTTCGCCGCGAAACTCTGTAAACTTGTGATGGACACTTGCGTGACCCGCATGGGCGACCACCAGTCGCACGCCAGTCGGAATCATATTCCGGCCGATAACTGTGTCGCTGAAGCAAAGAATGTGATCTGGCTTTAGGTCACCGTGCCGGAAGGTTAGTTCCGAGTCCTCGTTGGGATTGTGCAGGTTCTCAAGGGCACTGGAAACGCCAAGAAGTTGCACGAAGAACCACTCAAAGTACAAGTGCCAATCTTGTGAGCTGATGTTCGACGCCGCAACGCTCAAGGTGGGCTGCTTAGCCCAAAGATCCCAAAGGTTGCCGCCCATCGCCCAAGGAAGCATAACGTAATGCCGATGACCTTGAGTGTAAACGGCAAGTGTTCTGAGGAGATGAGGGTGACCTTGCTCTCTACTACGCCCCAGGATGCTTGTCTCAGTTTCGGCTAGCTCGTAAAATTTCTCCCTCGAAAGCCCCTCTGCGGATAAGATTTCTTTCACAGCAATGTGGGGGTTGCCTTGATCATCAACTACGGTGCCCTAGTTTTCTTTCGTTAGCCTGGCATAGCTCGAAGGATATCTGAGTCTTACAATTTGACCATCTCCTTCGAAATTTAGATGTGCCCGGTGAATCACAAAATGCCTGACGATGTTGAAACCGATTTGCTCCATGTCCTCACCAATTTCGTCCTCACCAATTTCGTCCAAGTATGGCAATTGACAGTAAGGGTCCAAGATATGGGATGGTTGTTGCGGACTGAATACTGGCACAAAAGATTGCCATTGAAAGTAGGAGCAAAAGTCCTCCATTTTGTCTCTTTGCTCATAAGGGTAGCGGATGTCATCGTTGCCGTTAGTATGCCATAGGCTAACAGTCTTCTTCGTATTACAGGACTGAATGGTCCATATGAGGGGTGATCTGCTGGCTGAGGTCGCTGGCTTGAGAAGTTTGACAGGGAAATGCTCATCGCTAAAGTCTTCACTGTAAAAGAGCTTCAACCAATCCACGCAGCCTTGCAGAAACAGAACCGAGACAAGTCTTTTGGCCTTCAAGAGCACGAAATCCTTAACGTTATTGCTCTCTTCTTCTAGGGAGTTTAAGAGTCCGGTGTCGTTCTGTAGAATTTCGTTGATTGATGAGAGGGGAATCCACCTATGCTTAGTTGAGTCCCGACGGTCTTCCACATCGATCTCTGCTTCTCGGAATGATTTTCTGAGACGATGGCTTTGGCTCTCAAGTTGTCTCAGCGTGGCCTCACGTAAAGCAGGCCTAGCTCGTCTCTCGGCGAAATGTTGTATGATGCGATCCTTCTCGGCGTCATATGGCTTCTCTTGCAGGCATTCCCCCCACTCATTGCGGTCGTCGCTAGGAAACGGAGACTCGGCGTCCTCCACAAGTTCCAGATCCAAATCGAGTGGGCGTGTTTCCTCAAAGTTCAATGAGAGGCGTTGCATTATGCTGTCGATGCCACTATTCCCTTGGTCGAGTCTTTTTGAATTCACGGTCCCATTCCTTTCATTCGTTTCGACCTCAAGGTCGGGCTCGTCTACACCATTTCGAAGGGATAGGAAGCACCAAGACAGAAGATGCTGAGCGATGTGCTTCGTCAATTTAATCTTGTCGGGGTCCATGATCTCGTGCTCCTGAAGTTGCAAGTGCCTGCCTGTATCTAGCGGCAGATCAGTTTCATTATTTGTGTTCTCATCATCATCGAACCGAACCCGTCTGGTTCTGTTCGAAGGCTTCGTAGTGGGGTGACAATCTACGATGGTGCTGTCATGCCCTGATTCTGTGGTTGGGAGGCGATCAACGGCTGTTTCACACATTGGACATGTTTCTGCCGGGCGTTCTGTCTCGCTAGACCAGTTTCCGTGTATATGCTGACTCCAATAAGTTCCGTGTGTCTTTTCCATATGCTCGCGCCATTTGCGAGACCGTGCAAAACGAATTGGCGGTTGGGCGGTGGCACAGTCCTCGGAGATGCAGATATACGGCTTCAAGTCTTGATTGACATGGTCTCTAAATCGAATGCATAAGTGATTTGCTCATTGGAAGTCTTATTCTCGGGCTTAACTTGCCTCCACCATTGCCCATCACTATAGTCTGTTGATGGAAAGAGCCGGATGCAGTATGGGCATTCCAGGAGTCCCTGCACGCCGGCCAACGCATCACTTAGTCCAGGAGCCCGGGGATACTCCACCTGCCCTGTCCATGCCGAGATAGTGCTCTGCTTATCGGATTGGTTTTCCGGTTCTCTGTATATTTCTTTCTTGAAAAGATCCCCATCGAATGTCGACGGACGAAGAGATTCACTAGGAGGCGGTTTGAGCGTCTGTGTCTGTGGGGTTGGGAGCGGCGTGGATTGTGCCTCTACAGCTTTATGATCTGGAACTAGATTTTCATGAGCTTTGGTTTCCGTTTGTCTTGGAACAAGGTGTGCCTCTAGCCGCTTCTTTCGATATCGCTGATACAATATGCGTTGTCGCTGGTACACTGCCGACCTTACCAGTTGGGCTTTAAACGAGGTCTGCATCCCTGGAAACTTGAATTCGACAATGGTGCCCATGAGATTCTCGAAATCTTTAAAGTCTATCTCATGTCTTCGAGCAAAAGAATCCATTCTCCCTTGTAGGCTCGTTTGTGATGACTGCGAAATGTGTTTCGCAATTCTGAACAGCCTCTGGATGCATCCACCAACCCCGGATAAAGGTCCCTCAAGGTGCTCGATCGCGTTCGAAGAAACCATGTATTCTTCATTATTACCATACGATTTTTCGTGCATCTCTGGTTCTTGATATTGAACTTGCACCGAAGTATGGCAGAAAGCCAGGTCAAGTCGCAATACTGGGTAGGCCAAACACGTTAGGAAGGCTAGCTGATGCCATGAAACAAAATAAGCAGGATTCTCACCAGCTTCCAAATTGACCTTCAGTAGTTTGAGCAACGAGACGATCATGGTCACTGGCTGCTCGTGCCCTCCCAGACGAACGTCGAGTGACAAGAATGGTTCGGCAAAGACACCTGTATTTGTTGCCCAGGCCCAAAATCTTTGTTGAAACTCTTGCATGACGGACTTTCCATGTTGTATTTTTGCTATGGTTTTGCGGAATTGATTTTCACACGCCTTTGCTTCGTCGTAGATTCGGGTGCTATCAAAGCCTGACATTTTGAATCCGGTATTCTTCAAGTGTTATATGAGTGCGAGTTGAACATTCCTAGGTCACGGCTGAGAAGGAGTTGTCTGAACAGTTGACCATTGTGCATAAGGGCGGATTAAACAGGACTGTGTGATATGTAGACGCTCTAGATGGAAGAGAAGTGGAAGATGAAGGGAGACGCTCCGGAGAACCCGATCAGGCGCTCGGGCATAACCGTCGTTTGATCAAATCTCACGCACTCCACAGTCTTTCGATGTACTTAGTACCTAGGATTAAGAGAGTCACTCAGTGCAGTATCCGGACGTGGCCGACCGAATCAAGTCTATCCCTGTGCTTCGCCTGGAGAGCGGCCTCCACCCCAGCTGGTTGTATGCATTTCGGCACCTTTGCACCTCCTCGAGGATGACGCTGTTGGTCAAAGTTGGTGGTGCGGGCAGTGTGACGAATGCAGTAACTGCAGGAGACTGCACATCGGGGTGACGTGTCTGCATGCCATTCAGTGACCCATCCCAATTTGTTGCTTTGTACGGAAGGTTGCTGCAGCCACTGGATGCACGCACGGAATTGTCTCCTAACAGCTGCAACGAGCTCCACTCATGCATCTCTTGGTTCTTTTCTGGTATCGGAGTACCCTACTCCTCCCCTCTCGCCCCGGGCCGGACAAAGTTTTGAGGATCCCTCGTCAGGCTTTCATGCCACCTCTTGCTTCAACACTCCCTATCTCAGAGAGAATGTAAGGTGTGTCGTACAATCCTTGAGGTCGATATGGAAGCATTTGTTCAACCATATCTTGCTTTCTTCAAATTAATCTGAGGCCTCAAGTCCTTTCCCTCCAGTGCGCTTCAAGCTCGAGTCGATCTTCGTCATGGAATTCAATCGATCCAGTCGCTTCACCGGTCTGCTCCAGTCCGTCAAAAAAAATCTGCCTCTCTACTCGTCCTGGGCACAATCTTCGTCAGATCTTATTGCAGCCCATAATCAGGCGCATCTTTTGGCATGGGACTTAGAGTTTCACGAACGCGATATTGGCTCCAGTCAGCTTGATGGTGGGGACACAGGACCTGAATCTTGGCTGGAAGTTGCCATCAGCTCAGCAGAGATGGGAAGAATACATGAGTTGAATACTCATCAAGTGGCTGAACTCCTTCAACCGTATCTCGATAAAATAGAAAGTGGTGACACTAGCACACCTGACGCTTCGTTGCCATTTGGAACAAACAGTCGACCAAGCCTCTTAGAACAGGACCACGTTGATAAATGTTTAGCGGAGGCTTCAAAACATCTTTTCAAAGCCCTTACAATTTTATCGTCCTGTTGCGATGGTCAGCACATTGCTAGAATTCAACTTTCCGATTTCCTTGCCGCCAAAGCTAGCCAGGATGATCGATCGTTTGGTCTTTTTCTCTCCTCAGATAACGACATTACGAAGTGCGTTTGGCGCGAAATGACATGCGGGGTAACAAGGTAAGTCATTTTCCCAGACATGACTCATCTTATCCAACATGAGATACTGATCTGATGGTTTGGTGAAGAGGGCAGAGTAGCGGTGTTTTGCCCAGTCAAGACACTCTCGATTTGTGTAGACTGTTGCCTGAGTCCGAAGAGCTTGGCAGGCCCTTGGGCCTAAGTCTAGATATACGTTCCGGTTCTTTTCTTATCCTTCCTTATGGTTTACTCAGCACTGAGCGTGAGCTGGATAGTCCTCGAGTTTGCCTAGGGAAATTGCTAGATAATCGTGCTCTAGCAGGATGCCCCCCAGGTGGCCATTACACATCAGCCGACAAGGCTACATTATGTCTCAATCTGGCTCTCGGTATGCTGCACCTTTCAGCAGAAGCTTGGCTACAAACACCCTGGAACGTTGACAACATTTACTTTACGATGAATGGTCTTCCAGCAAGCAGAGACCCCGATATCACCCTGCCCTTTCTTTCTCGAACGATCGAGAGAGCCTACTCAACCTCGACGCGTGGTAGTGAATCCTTGCCTGAGGCAAGGTCGCCTGTTCTTGCCTTTGCACAGGTCATAGCGGAAATTTGTCTAGGAAAGCGATTGCCTCCAAAAAGCCACGCGAATGACTCCAACTTACGAAAGACCCTGGACGACTTTACTCAAGCTCCCGACACCCGGAAAACACAACATTTGGATGTGCTTGGGGCAATTTCCGCCTGCATTAGCTTCTACGTTAATCAAAGATCAAATAGAAGGAGAAACAACATCCCAAGCCAAAATCCGGATGCAAAATGGATCTTTTACTACGTTGTGCGGAGACTAGAGAAGGCACTAGCTTGCTTCTCTCCCAGCATAGATAACCGCAGGTGCTTCGAGCTGGAATACTACAAAATAGAAACAGTCTCCGAGGCAAAAGCACGCTCTGAGGCATCTCCAACAACTTCTAGACAACCAAATGGGATAACCATGAATAAGTAAGTCTTTTAAGTCAAAATCATGCTCTGTTCACTGGCAAGCTCCATCGTGTATGTTGATACTGCAACTAACCAATGTCAGCAGATCCCTCCATACCACTGAGAAAGTTTGGTTTGATAAAGTCAGAGATTTGAATGACGTGTTTGATTCCGCCGCCGAATTTGGGAGGTATCCCAAAGTAAAGATCGCCGTCCTAGATACCGGAATCGACCCAGAATACCAAAACGTGGATGGAATCAAAGATTACATCGATTTCGTTGACCTTGAAAGCCAATTCAAGATTGATACGACAGGACATGGCACGTCTGTCGTTGATTTGATTTACCGGGTTTATGCACATGCAGAAATCTACGTGGCTCGAGTTTTTGAGTCGACCAATGCGACCTCAAGGACACCCCATCGCGTCAACAAAGTAAGTCATCATCATTCAAAACATCCCAACCGAAATCTAACTCTTCAGGCCATAGATTGGGCTATAGGCCATGGCGTAGATATCATATGTATGGCTTTTGGATTTGAAGCCGGCACTGACACAGTTGAGACTCTGCTCAGACATGTCAAGAGTGCAGTTTCGGACCGAATACTGCTCTTCGCTGCAGCCTCTAACGGTAGCTATACGAGCGAAGTTATGCTACCAGCTCGCCTAGATGATAATGTCTTTTGTGTGTTCTCAACAGATGCAGGTGGGAGAAATTCTCGACTTATAAATCCCCCTGCTCTTGATGCGCTTTACAACTTCGCTATTCTTGGTGAAGATATTACGCTACATAGTGGCAGCTTGGGATCAGGTTGCTCTTACTCAACTGCTATCGCTTGCGCATTTGCAGCTCGCCTTCTCGACTTTTCGCGGCACGAAGATGTTGCAAGTAATCTTGAGTATGCGCCGTTTCTGAAGGAAAAACGTGGCATGGCAATGGTCCTTTCAAGTCTTTCGGAAACAGACGACAAGTATCAGTGTATCCTGCCTTGGAGGCTATTGAGAGGAGTACAGGGTAACGACGAAACTACACTCAGAAAAACCAGGGAAACAATTCGCAGTTCCATATCAAAAGCCCTCGAACAGTACTACCTTAGGTAATTAGGAGTATACGAACTCTCACTCAGAATCGAGATGAGTCAATTCCGCTGGCCAGTCGCTCCATGTTTTCCAATCTTGTTTTCGACGACAACGCTGATCCGTACTTCTGAACCTTTCGCCCTACCCTAAATCGATGAATAATTGTTTCAGCCTCCAGTCTGGCTGGACGTCCACTTTGGGTCCTCCGTCCCGCTTGTAAGTGCAACCAAGTAACAAATCTCTGGCTTGTAGAATCATTGACCCATCCTTCATTCCCGCGGAAAACTCAGTATTATTCATGTAACCTGGATAAACAGATTTGTTGGTTGTCACTATTTGCCCATGCCCTCGGATCCAGTCCTTCCAGATGAGAAAGTGGTCTTAGGTCTATCACAAGACGACCGAGTTCCGCTTTTGTTGTGATGGGCGGGCTCGCATTCGATGAGTTTAGTTATCCCTATACAAATCTGAATGCTTCGGGAGATTGTGGAAAGCTTTGTTAGGGAGTGGCTCCAGTATGTGGTGTTGAAGGAGGGGACCCTTTCTATACAACTCATATGTATGAAGTACAATCACTCTCGTTACTGATATGATTGTGGTTGTAACTCAGCCTTCTCCACAAATTTCACCTCGGCCTTTCATAATGAGCTCCAAAGTAGGCGGCATCTACTACTTCCGGTTGCAAGATTCAGTGGCGTGACGTTGCCGACGCGGACATAAGTTAGCGTAGTCTTGCGGCCTGGCATGCCTGTCCAATGTAAGGCGGGCGAAATCAGAGATGCTTTGGGCGTCAATTTCCGAGAAACTGTGGTTTTATTGGGTGTAAGTACGTCCGACATAAGCTTGCAGTATGCGCCTAGAACCCGATGCGGGTTATCTGAGACGCTTGGCCTTCGGGCTTCCCGCGGACTAGGATGCACGTATCCATTTACATTTGATGTGCATGTACCACGTCCAGAGCCATTCAGCCGAAAGAGAAGTTCTTTTCTTCACTTTCCCGGTGGCCAACAGAAGACTGTACGCGCGTTGCACTTTATCCAAGCTCGTTGATACTATCGCTGTTGGTCGCATGTACGGGGCGACCCATTCCGCTGCTGATGCAAAGTTTTGATACATCACAGCAGCCCTTGCACTTGTATGCTGTAAGTAATGGCTTGCATATTAGGCACCAATGCATCATTATCCTGAGGGGATGGCAGACACCTACCATTCCTGGTGAGACATAACTTTCTTGGGTCCATAATTGCTTACTAGGTACCTCATTGGTTCATTGCGAATCGACAGAGGATTATTACCTGATGGCAATTGTGACCACATCGGTCGCACACCATGGCGCGGGCAAAAATCTATTATTTTAAGCATTTCTACTCATTAGGGATCTGACATCCTAGAGTTTCTAATAACAAAGACTGAATTATTCATCGAAAGGATTTAAAGCTTCTTCCGCCATAGATATTTATCATGGCACAGGATAGATGCTGGTTTGTCCTTCGACAAGCACATTATCCCGCCCCCAAATATGCAACGCCTAACATGGCCCGAGGAAAGGCAGAGGGGCCTATACAACTAGGTCACATCATTCCACGGCTCAAAGACATAGATCAAGTCATCAACTCTTCCGGGCCCAACCCGCTGCCCAGAGATGTGCGAATTTGGCCGACGGTTGACAAGAACTTCAACTGGGCTGAGACTCGAGATTCAGAGACGAATGCCAAGACTGCGGCTGACATCCCACTTCTTTCAGCGCCAGGCTTGTCGGCTCAAGGGGATATACAGCTCGCCTTCAAGAAGACCGTCAATAACTTTGCACAGTTCGACAAACTGGATAGGCAGATCATTCAGCCTACAAAGACGTACATTGATCAGAGTCTGAGATCACCCCAAGTCTCAGATTACATCGAAGAACACAAGTCATCGATCCTTGAGTTATCCGCGTGGAAGCTTTACATGATATCCGGCATCATGATTGCGAGAGGTGGAAGGACGGAACGCGCTGAAACAAAGCACTCTCGGGCCAACATAGGGCCAAAAATGTACGAGAATCATCCTTATTTTTATCCCTTTAGACTGGAGCCTTTATTACACATAACTAACCCCTGGATCCATGTCAGAGCTATCTCTGAGCTAGCCACTACGGAGGCAACAATCCAGTCATCGTCGTCCAACAGCTCCTCTATGACAGGAGAGCACGTCACAGACTTTGTGTGGGCAGTACGTCTTACGGAGATCAAGAAACCACTTTTAGGGACCCATACACAGCAAAAGACCGTCACCAAAGGGGCTACATTCGGAGTAGGGTCTAGTGAGGTCGATGTGGAAAAGGTCATGTCAGACATAGAGGACCATGACCTAGAAGTAGTGAAGCACGTGGCATCAGACAATGAGGAATCATTGCTTCTATTCATTCCTGTATAGCGTCTTGGTGATCAGAGGGCTGACGGAAAAGGATATGTGTCCCAGTCCTCTTGGATATGTACCTCAAGTACGGTCGACAGTTACGCGCAAGTCAGACCATTGTAATGTATCATTTCTCATTACGTTTGTTATCGAGGTATCTATAGCATACAGGTCATTGCCGTAACCATGTGACTAGATCCCTACGGAGTGACTCTCTGATCCGTTGTTTATCCCCTAAATCCTCCCAGTCGTTCTGATTTATTACTCGTTGCCTGTCGGGTAATGATGTTATAAGATTCCATGGGCATATACAATCGAAACCAAGATCGTGAATAGAAATCTTGGAAAAGACTTCTCTCATCCCCGATTGTCTCGAAAGGAATCTAAACGTTGGCAAATATTCGACGTGATCTGACTGGCGTGAAAAGTCTAGTAGACTCGCGGCAAAGCCGGAAGCAATCGCCGTGGAGAAGGATGTGCCTTTCCCGAGCTCCCCGCTGGCTAATTTGATATCCTCTCCCAAAATCGCAAAGTTGTTGCTTCCTTTTCTCTTTTCTGGGTTGATCGATCTGGAGTTTTTGAGGCCTGCGTCGGTGGAGAACATGCAGAACACATGTGAGCTGTATCGAGCCGGGTAAGCTATACCATTCGCGTGACTTTCATTCGCGGCAGCTGCGAAGACTAGTTTCCCCTGACTTGATGCCTTAGTGACAGCTTCTTGCAGCTTGAGTCCGTGCACACTTTGAAATCCCATGGCAATACAAATGATGTCAACATTCATCTCCAATGCCCATTCAATGGCCTAAGTGGGGAGGTTTGGTATGTTAGCCAGCTCAGGATTGTATTGCGGCTTCAGATATGGAGGCCAAGCAAGTAACTTACCTCGGCTACCAAGCGCTCGCCTTCGATTGTCTCATTTCTCTCTTCAGTTGACAATACTCTTGCCACAAAGATCTTCGCCGGCTCGTAGACTCTGTAGATCAAATCAATGATTGCTGTGCCGTGACCAGTGTCATCTACTTTTATCTCATCGTGACCATCGATGAAGTCCCTATAACCCCAGATCTCTTCAGCATTGCGATCGTTCATGTCAATGCCAGTATCGATGACCGCAATTGCAGTCTTCGGTGTTTCATTTTGAGACCTGATCTCGAGCACATCGTTAATTCTCTCGAGTCGTGAGAACCATTTGTTTACCGATGCAATCCGTTCGCTAAGAACTCAGGCTTTAACTAACATGAAGTAGCAACTGGGAATTTCAAGAGCGCTTACCTATTGAACGTTTCACCTCGACTTTCCTTCAGAGCCTTCGAGAATGATTGAAGCATTGGCTCAGTACGTTGATCCTTTGTCTTCCGCAAACGCTGAGACAGCGTCGTACCTTTGCAACTCTCTGGTAACCACTCAATCTCTTGATATGGCACCTTTTTGTAGCTGTTTACAAGTTCCTCAAATGGTTGTACAACGTGTTCCCACAACCAGTCTTTGTCTTTGACGGAATCTGGGTTTGGTTCCCTACAAAATTCGAGGCATGACTTGAGAGCATATCTCAAGAGTCTTTCAACCTTTGGAATCTTTTCCACAGCTTTCTCCATTTCATGAAGCAAATCAAAATCATTGATGTGAGCTTCCAACCGTAATCGCTTTCCTTCCATGATTTCTATCACCATACGAACGAAAGATAAAACGCTAACCCTGTCGTATCTCAGACCACTTCGAGGCTGGAAAATATCAGGAGCGATTTCGACTTTGTTGAGAGATCGGGAAAGGTAGGGATGATCTAGCTGCAGAATGTTCGGTGACTTGTGAGGGTCATGGAGGAAGTAAATATTGTCCACTGACCAACTTCTACCAATCCAAGTCTCGCTTGACAGATGCAAAAGACTCAGTGAGAGATTCAGATATATGATTGCTTTGTTCGCCGAGAGAATTCGACCACCACTAGCCAGCATTTTCTGATCAATCAAATGGCCGAGGGCTATTTCTGGTTGTGTTGTCCGCTGATCTGCGTTCCGACTACCTTGAATCACGGGGGTATCGTCATGTATCAACTGACAGAGCGTCATATTCAAGCCTTGTCGAAAATTCGCGCATTCCGCCAGAAGTGTACATAGATCTGCTGGTACGCGGCTGGCGTTTTGGTTGCTGGCTGCAATTTAGTCTCAAATCACTCCAGAGGAATGGGGCCAGCAACCACCTCTGCAGTAGGCATTGGGCACTATGCCACTGAGGCGTTCCATTAGTATGCCTATAAGAGAGGAACAGACTCAAATGACGGGTGTCGGGGTCGCTAGTTTCGTCTCCGGATAGTGGGAAACCATCCAGGCAGATCCGGGCAACATGCTTCTTAGCACAGCAAGCAGATTGACTGACAAGTGCAAAGTAAAGCTTCTTGGAAACGCCTATCAAGCACCTTCCCACATGATGGGACTTCTGCAATCGGCCTGGCGGTATTGTTGCAAAGGATGTCTGCCTCATGCGTCTCTCACGTCGCACTCTGTTTTCAATTGGTTTTGTCGTTGATCTTGGTTGATCATTGGTGTCTGAGTATCTCAAATCGCCCTGGAAAGGGTTTGAGACGTTCACCCAGTCATCTTCGTCGTCATTAACCGCGATGGAATAGTTGCTTCTAGAACCAGATGCGCAAGTTTCTTGAGAGCTATCGCAGGAAACTGGGTAACAGTCCTTAAGATCTTCGTCAAAGGCTGCAGAAACCTGTTTGTTCTTCTCGAGCAACGCTTCAGGGGTCCAACGCTTTAGTTGGAGAAAGAGACTGCTCATACTGATTATTGGTTGTCGCAGACAGAAATTGAATTATTCTCTTGTAGAAACTCGAAGTGGCTGAACGAAAGGGTAGCAGAAAGGTTTGCAATCAGACGCGAGAGTGTGTTCTTCTCACAAAGACACTTGCTGGTTAGAAACCCCGACGTTCATCTTTGGCCTTCAGCCACCTCGATTCTAGAGCACGGTCAGACTTTGCGTGCAAAGACTAGGATGCATGTCAGTCTAGCTAGGTACTTTGAATCCATAGGTTGGGCACCCATGCAGGTGACTTGGTCAGTAAACATGCAATGCAAAGCGTGTGTCGACCTGCATCCTCCCTGCATGTAACAGCAAATGTGCCCTGCAGGTTCGTCAAATCGGGCCGGATCTCAGCGTTCAAATGCAATAAGTGGAGGTGGCATACGACAACCTAGTCAAATCACGTGCCTTGAGGAAACACGACGCAGTGGACAAAGCTGATGACCGCTTGCATTGCGCCGATAAACTCTTGCCCACCGTACCCATAGCAACTTCTCTCGCTCGAGCTTTACCAGACGCAAAGACAGCAAAGTGTATCTCAAGCATTCATGGTGAAGCATGGAACATTCTCCAGGGAATGAAATCTACGAGGCAACCATTCGCTGCGATCAAACATTTGAATTCTCCATATCTGAGATTCAAGACGGCAAATACGTCCTGAGAGAGTTTCAACAACGCTTTTGGGCCTGGGCCACCAATGCTGGCGCGCTTGCTGAGCCGTGTCTATCCCTGGATGCACGCCTGCTCAACCATGAGAAACCTAGACACATGCTTCTGGCTCTTCTTGATCTGATACAAGACAACTTGCAAGCCGGTATGAGTCGTTCAATTTGCATGTTGAGCATAGCAGCTCGTTGATCTCCGCTCTCAACTGACTGCAGCACCCAGCACTCGAGTTTGATACCAGCCTATCCTCTGAAGGAACTTGCAAACCTCCGATAACTGAGGAAGTGCCATACTTCACACATTCAATCAATATAGATACCCGAACTCCAGATGTTGAGCATTTGAAATACCCATTTCAAGGGCTTGAGGCTGCTATACAAAGGCTCAATCTCATCTCTTCCTTGATTGACCATTCCTCCCGCAAAGGACGTCAGAGACGCCTTGAAGCACTGCACGAACACGCAGTCACGGATTCTACTCTGACCTTCATTACAGATGCATCTCGGTTTGAATTTCTTGCCCAGGCGATTATTGGTCATCTTTGGGGGGGTGTCAGTGGCCAAGTTGTCATGAAACTCGCGAGATCCGTATTGTTTCGCAAGCAACGTATTGCGTATACGAGATACCGAAAACAAGCCCGCCAAATTCCTCGTCTCCAGGGGCCACAGGCACATACAGAGGGTTCACATCTTTTGACTACTCCTTCAGTAGTAGGAGATGGAGCTCGGCTACACTTAGAATCAAACTTTGACTCGAAGCTCCCACGACAGGCAGAGCAAGTCCCAAGTGAATGGCTGCGACCGTCGACAGTGGACGGCGAGTCCTTCGCCAGAGGTCAACTAGGTTCATCTGGGCCTTCTTCAGAATCAAGAAAGACCCACTCAGTCTGGACGAAAAACATCGCTTACCCCAAGGCGCCAAAGGCTAATGCGGTATCGGACAGTGAAATTGGGCTCGCTCCGTGTCCATTTTGCCAAAACATGTTCCCTTACCAACTTTATGAGGACTCAGACTGGTGGAGGTAACCGAACCTGGGAGTTTATCCGGTATTGCACATCTCTGAGCTAATCTCCAATACAGAAAACACGTGGATCATGATCTAGAGCCCTATGTCTGTGTCTCAGACGAATGTTCGCAGCCGCCAATGACGTTTTCCAACCACAGTGAATGGCTTCAACATATGAATATCGCTCACGGCCCTCATTGGGTTGTAGATCTCCAAGATATATCATACAGAGGAGCTTCTGAAGTTGTCCGAGAAGGTCAAGGCACACCTTCTTGCCCCATGTGTCTCTATGATCCATCAAGTACGATTCAAAGGAACGCCAGAAAGACGACTCAACCTCTAAAACTGAAAGACACAGAAAGAACTCCGATAGTCCGGTTTAAAGAACCCGAAGAGACATTGGGCAGTCAATCAGGGAATTCAAATCTTTCTCATCCGACAAGGCATTTGCTAAAAGCAACTGACACAAACTTGTCTCGTCATATTGCCGAACATCTAAAGATGCTATGCTTTCGAATGCTCAGTATAGATACGAATCTGTCTCAAGAGACGGATGATGCACTAGAGTCGGGTACATCTTCGAAAGGGATGAAATTCAGTCAAACTACGACCCAAACAACGTCACCTAGTGGTATGGACAGCGAAATGGGAAACATTTCTCTCAATTTCGAGGATGCTAACGACTTACTACCATCTGAAGTAACGGCTAATAATGTTGAGCAGAGTAATGCCCAAGTGCCAGATTCTGGCTATCAAGTCAATGATATTCACGAGACAACAGGAAGAGATGTTTTCGGGGCACATGAGGGCAGCTCTTTCACACCTTCTGAGGCGTGGAATGTAAAACCGGTGCCAGAAAACCGAGTAGCAAGCGACACGTTGTTTACGGAAATTACGTCAAAAATGAGATTTACGTCAAACATTGGATCCAAGTCTTTAAGTCAGTCTTTAAGCCAAATTTTAGGCAAGTCCCGCGAGCAAGACGCCCTTAACCAAGCTCGCAAATTTGTGCCAAGACATGTCTTGGATGCGGTTGTCACACGCGAAAGTGTTAGAGCAGCCTTAAAGAAAAGTAACGCGGGTCGGAAGTTTTGGGATTTGTCAACCAAGACGGTAATAGATATCGTTTTTTCGAAGAATCTCAAGAAGACGTTTGTGATACTGTCGTATCTCGACGTTCCTTGGGATGTCAAGAAGTTTTACGAAGCTGGCCTAACCGATGCCGACCTGCCCTTGACAACGGTAAGGCCTGAAGGAGAGAGCCTCGAACTACTGCAGTCTGGCCGGAAACCCAACAAAACTTTCTCTCCACCAAAGCAATGGGGATTTAGCTTAGCAGAAAGCTTTATCGAGAAGCAGTGGACAGTAATGGCACCCGTCTTCGACAACACGTGGGACCATCGGGAACTAGATCGCCTATGTCCATTGCCTCTCTTTACGGCCAAGGTTGTCAATTACAGTGCGCGAAATATGGTCTACAAGGCGCAGATACACTCCTCTCATCTAGCAGGATCCAAGGTATGAGCACGTGCAACCACGGCCTGTATCTTCTGACCCCATACTAACGCAATAACGTCATCGGCAGGATTTTCCTTTCGTGGATATTGCGCTTAAAGAGTTCGGGCACGAGAAGGACTTCAAACGAGAACAATCAAATCTTGTCAGTCTTCGCAAGCTTTCGAATACCCACATCGCACAGAGCCTTGCAACGTTCTCGCAGGGAGATAGAAGTTACATACTCTCTCCATGGGCAGGGGGAGGGGACCTCGACCACTTTTGGCAGACTCATGGTGATGGAAAGCGTAATTCAGAAATGGCTCTTTGGAGCCTGAAACAAATGCTGGGCCTGGTGAAAGCCCTTTATGCCCTACATGAGGAGCTCGGCGAGGCTGTCAATTGCCGACATGGCGACCTGAAGCCCGGAAAAATTCTGCATTTCAAGTTTGATGACAATAAGGATCATTTGGGCATTTTGAAGATTACCGGCTTCGGTATCTCTCGCATCCATCTCGAGGCCACTTTTGATAGATTAGAAAGACCAACAAACACCGGAGCAACATCGCCTTCCTACGAGGCTCCCGAAGCCACGGCGACATCGAAGGATGCCATATCCCTTAAATACGACATCTGGTCGATTGGATGCATCTTTCTGGAATTCGTCATCTGGCTCGCACAGGATTGGGATGCCGTTCAAAGTTTTGCCAACGCGAGGAAGTCCACCTCGGCGCATGCGGGTGGCGCAATACCGTCACACTTCTACACAATCGACAAAGACGATATCGTCGTACATCCAGAGGTCTTCAAGATTATCAAAACTCTGGGACGGATTCCACAAAGTGCTCCCAACACTGCACTTGGAGAGCTTCTGAGCATCATCAAGGAAGGTGTCATCAAGATTGATCCAGCCGAACGGACTGATGCCAGGGGGCTTTGCAATCAGCTGGAAGCAATTGTGTCGAAAGCCAGGTCTGATCCTGTATATCTGTGGGACTCTCGGTATTGATATGTCGGGAAATGAGACTAGGAGGCAACAAAGGCTCTTCCAGTACACGAGAGACTTTATTATGATTTGTTTTCATTGATTTTTGTCATTTTTCCTCGTCTTATCGGTTTGCCATACCTTGTTCTGATAATGTTGTCCCTTTGGATTTGCTCTTCCCAAATTTTGCCCCCAAAGGCATTGTACCTGCCTCGTTACGAACTCCTTTTGGTCTTTTCGACCGATCCTCTTTCCTCCTTAATTTCCTTTCTTTAATAATTGAAGATGTGTTAATAGTGAAGCATCTTGATCAACGCAGGATATCTTAATAGTAGTACTTATGACTTGTGGGTTCCATACCCCTTAGCCTAAGCATGTGTATCCAAATTCGAAAACTTTCCACTGCTAATTATGAAATTGACCCATTTCTTGGGATGTCTTCAATAAGACAAAGATGGCCTCGTTTCAATGATTGCAGGTTCCAGAATCACGTCTTTGACTCCTGATGATCGTCCCTTGCTCTGCAGTAAATGAACTCTTTGCCTGGCCTACCTTACTATAGTACAGCCACCACATTCTCGGCAACTAATCTAGCAAACTGTGCAGGGCTGCTTCGGTCTTGAAGAGGCGAAGACTACAGCTCTGAAAATCGTTTATGTTGAGAAGGGACCTTGTAACAGCGGAGTGATGAGCGGGGAGATAGGAGATACTCAACTTCTCGCTAAGTTCTAAGTCGTCTGTGTTTTAGAATAACATTCAACTTCGGACGACTCAAGCGTTGTAGTTGAGTGGGAGTCTGACAGAGGTGCTTCTCTTGCCAACTGCGAAGCTTTTAGGAAGCATTTTGACCCCGCTTAGCTAACCCGGGGATTGTGACCACAAACACAGGTATCCTTGCGACTTAACTCGTCGTTAGAGACAAGAGAGCATAAAGTGGGCTCGGTGCACGGATCAAGGATACGCTGCGATTTACCGGGAACGCGGCCGTTTAGCTTTGGTAGCACTGACAGCGTAGCCCACCCTCTGAGCGTCAGATTCCCCGTAAGCGACCGAAGATCATGAATCGTGAAACCTAGTGTTTGCGATTTCCATAAGAGGTTCCTGCTAAGATCAAATAGGCGTTACGCGTATGCGCCTGCTTATGTCCATGCTGGGCAGGTTTGACTGCTAGGGCTGAAACTGATGTTCGGGGTTGTATTAGTGGGTGTCACTGGGTGGTACTGGATGGCATTCTCGCGGTTTATCAGATGGGGCGTGCAAGGTGTCATCTGATGATTCTCTGTCAAAACTCTGTCGGGAAGTGGAGTTAGTATTCATGGGTTAAGGAGAGTTCTAAGTTTTTTTGGAGGGGAAATTAGCAGGGCGATTTGGATGGTACTATCGTGGCTCGATGGAGGAATGGATGGGTGGTGATACGATAGGCCATTCTTGGTCTGGACTCTTGGCCGGGTTAATTATGAGCTGGATGAGACGTGTGTGAGGGTAGTGAATTTAAAGTGAGTTTGCCTAGTGCCTGACGTGACGCGTCCGCCATGCTTAGGTGTAGCTGATACTAGCTCGTACCTACACCCTGGACTCATGGAACTAAGGACTTGGAGTACAGATCTGTCTTGATAGGAACAGCGTATAGCCATGGGTATTGAATTTATTGATGATTGATCGACTCGTTAATCGAGAGGAGTACGTAAAAGAGGAGCAAAAGGGGTGATTTGAATGTTGGATCGCCGCAGGCAAGTGGGCCCGGTATCATCTGGGAGGCCCCTTTTGCAATTAATTTCTAGTATTCGTTTGGAGTACGGAGTAGGGATACCTATGTATCTGTATGAAGAAAGAGACAAAAGAGGGAAAAAGTCGCCAATGACAGGACTTGGCACTGGCTGGGAGGTGAGCACAGGTGAGGCAGGTGAAGAGTCGCCTTCACCTGCCTCACCGGGATGTTGCGTAAAAAAGGGCAGGAACGCAGGCCGCAGACCGGCGACGGGTCCGCCTTCCCCCGGGGGTTCCCCCTGACCCTTGATCCTTCCACCTTAATTTTCCCCCTTCGCCCTTTCCTTCGACTGTTCCTTGGTAAATTTCCCCTCCACACCGACACCAACCACACCACCCACGTCCACCTTTCTTTCACTGCCACCACCAAATGGCACCCAAAAAGATGGTGGAATCTGCCGGCAGCGCTTTTTAAGTGGATTACAAATCGATTGTTGGCTGCAGCCCAGCGAACACACCCACGGCTCACTCAGCAACTCACCACTCATTTTCGCCCACTCACTCACTCACGCACGCACTCACTCTGAGTTTTGAACTCACTGCCCATCGGTCACTTGCGCGTCCGACCTCCGACCTCTGTTGCTTCTCTTTTTTTCCCGTTTCTTGTATCCATCCATCCATACGGTGACCACCCTCGAGTATTCGTAATCTGCACGAAATACACGCACGCGCAGTTGACTGACTGGAGACGGGGCCAGCGACCGACACCAAAGGACGCTCGCGAGCTCAACATCTTTGAATGAGAGCGCCCATCTGATACCCCCCCGTCTATCTGTCCCTTTCAGCCTTTCAGCATTTCAAATCATCGCTTGTTGCATGCGCGAAAGCAGCAACCACCATAGCCCATCATGTTTTCACGCAACAAGGACCTCTCCCACATGTCCTCCTTCTCCAACATCCGCTCGCGCTTCAAAAACAGCATGTCGTCCTCGGCCAAGATCCGCAGTTCCGAGGGCTGCTGGACCTGCCGCCTGCGCCGCAAGAAGTGCGACGAGGCTCGGCCCGTCTGCGAGGGGTGCGCCCAGCTCGAGATCAACTGCTTCTACAGCGAGACGAAGCCCGACTGGATGGACGGCGGCGAGCGACAAAAGGAGATGGCCGACCAGCTCAAGAAGCAGGTCAAGATCCAGGCCAACAACCGCCGCGAGCGAAAGTACCTGCAGGGCCTCGACGTTGAGGGAGGCGGAGTTAGCGGCGGAGGAGGAGGAGGCGGGCGCGGATCCGAGGATGGCATTCCTCCCGTCCCGGCGCTGAGTGCCGACGACGGCTCATCAAAGGCCAACGACTCCAACAGTCCGTCCACCGTGAACGACACCCCCGGCGACTCATCCTCTAGCCCGCCCTTCCAGATGAACTCGGTGAAGTCGTCGATCCATGAAATCGTCCCCGGCGCATCACCAAATCAGATGCGCCAGCACACCCCGGAATGGAACAACCACTCCAGCCCAGTATCCGCAGCACATCACCAGCAACAACAACAATATCAACAACAGCAACACCAAAAACCCCAGCCCGACTTCGCCGCCGGCACCGGCATGGGCTCTTCGTCTTCTGTCCAACAAAACTCATCTCCGCCCTTCGCCGACGACTCCAACCTGAGCTTCATCATGATCTACCTCGACTACGTCTTTCCCTTCCTCTTCCCCTTCTACAAGCCGGCCCTTCTCGAAGGCGGCCGCGGCTGGCTCCTCAACGTCCTCAATCACAACAAGGCCCTCTACCACACCGCCCTCAGCCTCTCCTCCCACTTCTTCGGCGTCGTCCTCGACAGCGCCCAGGTCGAGCACGCCCCCTGCCGCATGAAGTCCGTCGCCAGCCTCCGCCACCAGATGCACCTCGCCCTCCGCGAGCTCCGAGCCGACATGACCCGCATCAACGAGCCCGGACCCAACGGCGTGCCCCGTGATCCCCAGGACCAGCTCCAGCAGAGCTGCCGCGTCCTCGAGAGCATCGTCCAGCTCCTCATCTTCGACGTGACCTTGGCTACCACAGACCACTGGCACATGCACCTCGACGCCGCAACAATAATCTTCCAACAAATCCTCCCGCAACCAGACCGCTGGGACCCGACAATGAACAGCATGGCCATCCCCCTCCTCCAAGGCGTCCACTTCCCGCCCGGCTCCCACAAGCCCTGGTCCTCCGACCAAGCCGCCCTCCGCTTCTTCACCGCGTCCCTCCTCTACTTCGACATCATCTCCGCCACCGCCCTCGAGCGCCCACCCCGCCTCCAGCGCTACCACCGCCACCTCCTCTCCCCGCGCAAAGAAGCCTCCAACGCCTGCGCCGAAGTCGAGCCCCGGCTGCGTCTCGAGGAGTACTTTGGCTGCCAATCCTGGGTCCTCCAAATCATTGGCGAAATCGCCTCCCTCGACGCCTGGAAAAAGGAAACCCGCCGCGCGGGATCCCTCTCCATGACGCACCTCGTCTCCCGCGCCGGATGCCTCGAGCTCGCCCTCCGCGAGGGGATAGCATGCCTTGACAACGCCTGCCCGCAACTCATGGGCTCACCCAACTGCGCCGAGGAAATGGCCTGCCGCGCGGGCTCCTGCACCGCGATGGACGCCGACGATGCTGCCGCCCCGCCGCCGCACCCTACTCACGTCGACACCACCAAACTCCCGCCTGACCCGCTGACGCTCTACCAATCCCAACAAACCCGCGACGCAACAGACGCAGCCCGCATCCACACCAAGATCTGGGCCTACGCGGCGCTAACCTACCTCTCGACCGTCGTCTCCGGGTGGCAGCCCTCGTGTCCGGAGACAGCATCCAGCGTAGCCATCACGATCGACCTGCTCAACTCGCTCCACAGCCCCGTGTGCCTGCGCACCGTCGTCTGGCCCTTTTGCGTCATCGGGTGCCTAGCGGATCCCTGCCAGGAGCACATGTTCCGCGAGATGGTGGGCAAAATGGGTGCGCTCGAGGTATTTGGGTCCATCAAAGCTGCGCTGGGCGTTATGGAGAATGTGTGGGCCAAGAGGGAGACCATCGACGAGAGCTGGGATATCACAGCATGCTTCAAGGTCCTCGGGCATGCTGTGCTCTTGACTTGAGGGGTCTGCAGTTCTTGAACTGAAATACCTTATCATCTGGCTTACGGTAGCTGGAACAGCGCGCGGCTTTTGGAATGTTTCAACGACTAGTAAACGGTCTCACTGCCATGGATTTTCGATCACACGATATCACGAAAGAAAGTAACTCGCAACTTCCCAGTTATTTTTCTTTTATTATCAGTGGTCCCAACCCGAAAGAAAACGCCATTATGTTTTTGCTTTTTTCCCCAAAACAGCAGAAAGGACCGAATCTATCCAGTAGACATTACCCTCGTCGACCAAAGCGACGTCATTCCAGCAAAAAACCATCCAAAGACCCAAGCCGTGGATACAATCTCTATTACCAGCAGAGCCAAAAACCCAAACCCAAACCCAAACAAACCCCAGACCGAGGGCAGGAAACACTGCACCTCAGCAAAGCTCACGCCTTCCTCCGAGAAGCAGCCCTCTTCTGCTGCTCCAACAGCCCCAAATCCCACCACCCGTCAATAAACTCCATAATCGTCTTGCGCTTCGACTTCCCCCGGCCAAGACCCTTGCCATGGACAAGGTGCTCCACCGGCGTCATCGGCGACCGCAGTCCAGCAGAAGACGGGGCCGGAGAAAGCGGCGGCGCGGGGGAGACGATGAGCTCGGGCAAGACGGGCATCGGGTGAACGGGCTGTCTCTGCTCGACAATCTGCACGCGCTTGTGCTGCACTTGGGCCGTGGTAGGGGGCATCTGCGTCGACATTGGCATCGGCGGGGGCGGAAACCACGCGGTCGTCCGGGTATGTTGGGACACGGGAGGCGGCACGGCGACGTGGTGGACATCATCCGAGTCCGAACCCGAAGAATAGTCGCTGTCGAACCGCTTCTCCCGCGCCAACACCGCGGCGGTGCCGAGGCTCTTCTTGCTGTTGCCGAAGTAGCAACCCCGTACTTCCCTCGTAGGAGGAGGCGGGAAAGAAGGAGCGTAGCCACCACCACCGCCATTTCCACCACCGACTGCCGCAGCAGCCACCCTACCACGGGCGCACCCTCAACCCTCAATATCCTTGACCCCCGCAGGCGCAAGCTTCACCCTGCGCCAGAGGCAGACAGTCGTCACAGCGCTGAACGCGAACAGCACACACAGCGCAATCGACAGACCCCAGACGGCCTTGATAGCGTAGCACGTGCCCTGGTCGGCGCCGACCCAGATGAAGTAGTTGAGCGCGGAGCCCGTGTTGATGTTGGCCGTCACGGAAGCCATGAAGTTGGCGGTGCTGCCGCTGGACTTGGGCAGGGCGGCGCAGTCTAGGTAGGAGAGGGGTTTGCCTAGGAGGCAGGCGACGACGATGACGGCGATCAGCAAGAAAGTGTCTGCGCCGGCGGCGAGGAGGAGGGGGAGCATGTTGTCGTAGTAGAGGATGTAGGTGATTGAGATGTAGAGGGTTGCGATGCAGGACTGTCGGATGGTGTTAGCTATCGTTCTTCCAATCTACGAATTCATGACCATTCTCCGGGAAGACTCAGTGTAACGAGTGCAGGACTTACAATAACGAGCGTGCCGATCAAGACGGAAGGCGGAACGGCATCAGCACCGTTAATCTCCGAAATAAAGTTGGAGACCATGCCGATTATGGACACCAAAGAAACGAACTGCATGGCGCGCATGGCGGTGAAGGTGTGCCCGAGGGCGCCGAGGCGAGGAGCGGAACCCATGTTTCTGTTGTGCTTCCGGGCGGCGAAGTCGCGGGCCAGGGAGACGGGCGTGACGAGGGTGAGCTTCGGGCGCGGGGCGTGGAAGTGGAGCGCCGTGCGGACGGGGAATTTCCGGGGCGGGAAGGGGATGCTGGCGGTGGGCGACGGGAGGGAGGTTGAGGAAGGAATTTTGGATAGGATGTCGTAAGTCGCTTGGGTTAGCGACTTGTGTTGGTGCTTGAAAGACGAGAAGTAGAGCGTGGATAGAATCGTAATGTGAGACGAAAGAGAGTTGTAATGGATTCGATGAATCGATAAGAGAAAGTTAACTTCGTTCAAGATCGTGTGTTTTTCGTTTCGTTCCGTTTGTCGTGACCTAGAAAGGAAATTCGGAAGATGCGAAATGAAAAATCGAGTGTTGACGGATGCAGATAGATGAGAGATAGATAGAGAGAGATGAGACCTAAACTTGACCAAGGAAATTGACCTAGGAAATAAGGAAAAGAGAGAAAAAAAAGGAAAAAGACGGAAGATTGTTGTAAAGACTTGTGTTTGTGATGTTGATGAGGAACAGAAAGAAACTCAAGACGAAGAGAAGGATGAGAGGAATGGTCTTTATACATCTTACATCTACAAAAAAGCAACATCTTCAATCAGCCCAGTAGCCAGCCCAGTGGTTCATCTGGCCTGCAAACGGTACCTGAGGTTGCTCTGCATTGTTGTTGTTGTGTTGCTAATTCGAGCTCTCGCGGTCTGGACCTATCCCGCTAGACATCGACTCCCAAGCCCATGAACATCAGGATACGGCAAGGTACCTTACGGTTCCTGCATGAGATACGTCAGTTGCCGTACCTCTGTGCAAAGCAGTGAGGGAGTGGTTCGCCCTAGACCCTTGGAGGCTCCCGCATCCTGGACGGCACGACCTTCGGCTAGGTATGATGAGCCGCTGGGTTGGGCCAATCATCGTCAACGGCCGGGGTTGCGGTGCGGCGCTTAACGGCGGTGGAGTTCCGGAGAGGTTGGACAAGCGACGCGGGTACAAAATTTACAACGGGGCCACACGGCTCCGGGAAATTGGAGGCTCTTGGACATGCAGCGCCAGACTCTCTTTCTTTTCTGGTATCTCTCATCAAAACTGTGGAGAAGGAAATAGGCGCGTCCAATGGCTGGTTGTCATCAAGCCGGGCCCTGGATGATCGTATTGGATGGCTGCGCGCCTGTTTTGAAGTCGAGCTAGATGGACATGATTGGGTCTGCTTGATCCCGGGGAACTCACCTAGTTTCCACCTTGGCATCGACCTGGTGGACCTCCATGCTTTCCTGCATCTTGAAATGATAATCGAACAGACCACTAAACGCGGCCATGCTGGGACGACGATGGCGGAGGCTGAGGCGCCTGTTCATACGAGCTAGCCCAGGTCCCAAAGACATGCAGGTACCGAACCTGAAACCAGGTCTGGCGGTTGCTGGCCAAGGCCGCATATCTTTGCTCCATGATGCTTTATTGTTGAGGTCCATACAGGTCTTGTTCCTGGGCCTCTGTTGGTTTGACGCGTCCTGTATGCGCGAGGATCTCTGTACTGATCCTTGAGCCTCTTGCACCTCTTGAGCCTCCCACAGCCGCGGGACGACGATGGTTGGCCCGCGGGCGGTCGGTCCGCTGTTGATCGACTTGGCGTCAGTTGGGTCCCTGTATTTGAGAGTTCGCGATAGAGTGCTCGACGCGGTCTAGACCTTGTTCAGTCGTCCCTTCACAAATCCACAGTACAGACGGCTTGCTTCGGATTGTGGGCGTATGAGTAGGTCGCGCTATCGGCCGCAGAGGGCTGTGAGTCCTGCAAATGTCAAGCCCTGACGATCAGGACATGCGGAGGCATCAAGGTCGCCTCATCAACACGCCCAGATGCACAAAGACAACTGTTCAGCCTGTGAGCATGATGTCACATTGCACGAGGTGGAAAGATCCCTGAGGACACAAGTATTGAATGTGGTTCGCTTGAAATTTCAGTATATGGTTCATGTGTTGCAGTCTTCTTTTGCCTGCCGATACGCCTAGGTAAAAAAAAGCCTATCAGCACACATCTTTTCGCCTTACCATCACCGCGGCGGCCTCTGTCTTGGGTTACTGCTTGGCCAGTGATGTTGTACGGCTGGGTAGGCTCCGTCTTTTTCCACACCAGTTCTTCGTCTCCGCGTCTTTGTATCATTATAGTAGGCTTAACCAAGCAAGTCGTCCAGGCCGTGGTTTCCGCCGGAGGAGGAGGAGTTTCCAGCAGGCTTCGGTGTCGACGCCGCAGCAGGGGCACCCCAGATTCCGGCACTGCTCTTCTCCTTCGCAAGCTGGCCCAAGGCCGGGCCGGCAGTGGGTGTGCTTGTCTTCTTCACGCCGGAGCTAGCCTGTGACCACAGGGCACCAAAAGCATCACCACCGGCAGCGGCCGGCTTAGCAGCAGCTGAAGCCGGCTTTGCCGCCGCTGGAGCACCAGGAGTAGACGCAAAAGACCCACCAGTAGCCTGCGGGACCGCAGTCTGAACTGAGCCAAAGTAGTTGGGCCCTGAAGGCTGGTATCCAGTAGGCTTGATTTGTGCGGCAGGAGAAGCAACAGCGGGGGTGCTGAAAGCTGAGTAGTTGGCGCTCGGAGCGGGTGACATGGAAGACATGCTGACCATGTTGCCAATGTTGGCCTGTTGAGGCGCAGAGACCGGCTGGGGAGCGGCGAAGGTCGTGGCAGAGTTGGCTGTCATGACGGGAGGGGACATGGAGGTTGCTGCTGCGGGAGCCGAAGGCGCGGACTGGAAGTCGTCAAAGTCATCGTCGTCGTTGGCAGCCGCAGGAGCAGCAGACAGGGAGGCAAAGCCGGAGCCGTTGGACGGAGCCGGGGCGACAGGGGCTGGCATGGAAGACGGCGCAGGATCGTCAAAGGAGAAGAGATCGACTTCGGGCTCCTTCTTCTTGGGTGGCTCCGCCTTGGGAGCGGCAGCGGCAGCGGCAGCTCGCTCTGGTCTCTTGGATCGAGAAGACGAGGAGCTGGCAGCTGGGCGAGTGTCATCAAACTCGTCGTACTCCTCAAACTTGTCGCCGTGTGATTGTGTTTTGCCGTAATCGTTGCTCTCTTCTCCGCCGAACCCACCACCGTCGCCGTAGACGCCGCCAGAGTAGCCACCGTAGCCTCCGGTCTCGCTTCCGAAGCCCCCATAGCGACTGCCGCTCCCGCTTGAGAATCCGCCGCCCATGCTCATTCCACCCTCAACGCCGGTGTACTTGTTCTTGGTGGCCCGCGCCTTCTTGCGCTCGGTCCGGATGCGCTCGACATCGCCGAGAAGTTCGGCCAATTCCTTGGCACGGTTGCGAACGTTGATCCCTTGGTCCTTTCCGTTCTGATCGATATAGTGGAACTGGCGGAGCATCTTGAGTAGTGTAATGTGGCCGCGGGCATCGTCGATGACTCGTTCGGAGCCGTGCTTGATCAGGAACTCGAGAAGCTGAAGAGCCTTGTAGATTTGCCGCCACTCTTCGGCGGACTTTTCTGTGAACCGACGGTAAATCATGGGCATGATCTCGTTAAGAGTAGCACTAGTAGTACGTCAGTATTGTTGGTTCGTAGGTTTCGGTTCGGGGGGGATTACTAGTTGAAGGTGCCGTTGGCAATCTCTTGCATCAGTGATGAGGACGCGCCCCAAGGTTCGTTGTTTGTTGCCTCTCGGACCTAGAACCTGTTAGACGGGCTGGAGTCTACAACAAACGACTTATCAGATGGACGAACCTTGGACTCCATTTCCGTGTAATTCATCACGGCTATGCGCAATTAGCATGCGATCGACATTGGGTTGGACTGGACGGTTGGTGATTACCATTCTGGACCTTTCTGACGCCAGCCTTGACGTCGTACAGGGTCATGTTGGAGACCGTGTCTCTGAGGTTGTTCCAATCCATTTTGGCGGTTTTAATGGGGTGAAGTCGGGGAGGGATTTGATGAACGGTAAGCAAGAAGCCCAAAGGCACAGGTGAAGGTGGTGAACTCGAAGACGCGATGCTCCTTGTGATTCTTTGTCGACGTTTCAAAGAGAAGCGCAATCCAGCGACCTGGCCACCCTGGAACTTTCAGGCCCAGGCTCAGTCAGGTCAATCGGCCTCGGGCAGTGCGGCGGCAGGGGGGTACGTACCGCGTGGATGAGATAAGATTGGCTCAGTCTGAGGGAAAGGAGATGTGGGGAGGGAAGGTGCCGAGTCACGTGGTGTGCTCCGTACCTCTGGCAACTCTCTGGAATTTGGAAAGTGTCAGCGGGCAGCGAGAGAGGAGGAAAGAGCTTCCCTGGTCGGTACGTACTGATTGTGGTGTACTGTACTCCGTACCTCTGTGCCTCGATCAGCTCACAGCTTGACTCGGAACAGCTACTGTTTCTCCATGGGATATTCTCAGAAACCACCAATTGAATGAAGCTGTACTAGTTTCAGCTAATTGTGTTCCTCAAGTGTGACTGATCTAGGTATTTTAACTGGCTGTAGATAGTTCGTAGTTCATCATCAATTTGGATGAATACGAAATACCTGGTTCAAGGCCTTGAGCTTCGACAGCTGTCCATTTCCAATTGACAGACGTGGGCGCCCGTGCTCCAATTCTCAATGGACGACGACCCTGCCGAGCGTGTGTTCCTCAGGTTGCTCTCGCGCCGTGCCGTGACCTTCCGCCCCCTTTGGGAAGTCCCTGACCTCACCAAAACTTTTTTCTCCTGAGAAGACAGCAAAGATTCGTTTCTTCTCTCATCAGCGACTTTCATCAACCTCTGTGTATCAACAAAACTTCATCTCATTTCTTTAACTCTGTACCTGTACCAACACTTAGACTGTGTAATCCTGCTCTTTGAGGTGTGTAAAACGAGTTCCTTTCGTCATATTCCTTCCTGCTCTCTCTGCATCCAGCACAAGCTTCCCTCTCCCCTTACCAAGCTGCCCATCATCCACCTTACCTTACCTACCTTACCTCGCTCATTCCCACCTGAAAGTCGTCGGAGCTACCTGAGCTGGTTGTGCGGCCAATGCGGTTCTCATGCAAGCCAGTTGGGCTGTCAGAATGGACGGCAAAGCTTTGCCATCCAGCCTCTGCAGCTTGATATGCTGCTACACGAGCCATTGAGCCTACCTGGCATCTTAAGCATAGCTCCACGCACGAGCGCAGGCCTGGACTTGTCTTGTATGGCAACACACTGGCAACAGCGTCGAGACTCGAGAGCACCAGCCCGCGGTGACGCCGCGGCTACGGATGGTGCCATCGTTCATGCCGGGGAGACTGGACGGCTTCATTGGCCTTCGGCTGTTGCATGTTTTGATGCTCGTCGATGGCCGATGCATTGCCTTTCCTTTCCGGCTTGCACGTCACGTCACTCGACTCGTCCACCGCCGGTCCGCCACCGTCGCCGCTGTTGAACCATCCACTCGTCCATCCAAGCTACCACCTCCCCGCTTCCAGTGGACGCAAGATTCCACGACCTTCCGAAGGGTTGTCGAGGGACAACGTGGGCCAGTGGGGGACGGTGACTTGGCCGTGGCCGACAGCCAGACAAACGACTCCATCCAGCTGTACCAGCTTGCTGTCGTTGCCCCCCTCCCCAGGGTACCTCCCTTGTCGCTCCAATGGCCAGCGGCCTCGGGATTTTGACGTGCATTCGTCTGTCCTGCCCGTGCCGCACCGTGGGTTACCAATGGCTCTCCCTCCTGTTCGCTGTCCCTGCTCGGAGGTATTTACCTCTCTATGAGCTGTGGGTGAGAGAGTTCATCCAGGTACCGGTGTCAAGCTGCCAGGCCGGTGGAGGTACAAGCCGTCATCCTCTGGCACACCGTCTTCAGCCCAGGCATTGCCGCGGTGGGATGTTTCTCTCTTCTCGGCTTCTGATTGAGAATCGTTTTCGTCCCCAACGTTGCCGGCTGGCCGGGTAACTGGAATGGTTGAGCTTAACTTGCGTTTGCTCTTTTGCTCTGCTTATCCGGTTTGCCTATCGAGCTAGGCGCAAGGCGGGGGTTGAATGGTTCATGAAGTCATCCCACTCCCACTCAGCAGCTCTTTGACATTGGCTTTTGCCTTGCTCTTTTGGTTCGACTGGAACTGGACGGCAAGTTCAAGCCAGCATCAGCACAAGCAATTGGGCTGGTGTGTGCTAGCTGGGCTGGACCGGACTGAACTGAACTGGTGGGCTGAGGCGAGACGGAACCGAAGCAAAGACCCAAGCAGAGAAAGCCGGGAAGAAGATCCCTTTGCCCCTCGTTTTTCCTTCCTGCCCTCTTCCCAGTTATTGCAACTTTCCATTGCGCCTGCCCCTCCCCGCCGCATCGCCTCCTTCCTTCCCTCCCACAACGCCCCAACCCAACCCCTCCTTCCTCTCCGTCACCTTGACCTTCGGCGGTACTTGCGCCTTGTACCCCCCAAGGTACCCTGGGAGGTACCAATACGCAATACGTACTTGGGTCAGGTACATTCCCGGTCCGTCAGTGACCTCAGCAACAGCTCACTTCACGTGACTTTTCACCCCTCTTTTCTCACTTTCTGACCTTTTGATTCGCCCCTTCGGCACCCGCAGTGGGGAGCTCCTGCGCTAACAATAAACCCCTCCACCCAGCTGTTGAAAAAATGAGACCAACCCTTTTGCGACCCCTCCTACCCCGCCATACCTTCGCCTGCTCCTCCGTTTCACCCTCGCCCTTTTCTCGACCTTCTGCCTTCATTCAACCTCTCCGAACTGTGATTCCTGCATCTACCAAGCCATCCGTTCGATTCTTCTCAGCATCCAAAATCATGCCTTCCCAAGTGTAAGTTTCTCCTTCCCTCGGCCTGGCTCAAGACCATCATCACCATCACGACGATGCTCTCAATGACGCAATAACTAACCCTCTGTTCAGTTACTTCGACATTGAGTGGGAGGGTCCCGTCCTCGACGGCTCCGGACGTCCCACCTCTACCGTCCAGCGTAAGTTTTTTCCTTCCGGTTATCCATTGAATTCCATCAAAACAATCATCACCATGGTCGTTTTCGATGTTCCCAGCATCACAATGCCTACGTGTAAAGCTCTAGACGGCATTGAAATCACCCCACCTCGACTCCAAAAGACTTGAAACTTTGTTGTTCACCCATCTTTGGCTGCTCGAGCTGTCTTTCCACCGACCCCGCCATCTTCACCGCATCCAGAGCTTCGCTGACCAAGCTTTCTCTCATACAGAGCAGAACGGCCGCATCGTCTTCAACCTCTTCGATGACGTTGTCCCCAAGACCGCCGCCAACTTCCGCGCTCTCTGCACCGGCGAGAAGGGATTCGGCTACCAGGGCTCTTCCTTCCACCGCATCATCCCCGACTTCATGCTCCAGGGTGGTGACTTCACCCGTGGCAACGGCACCGGTGGCAAGTCCATCTACGGCGAGAAGTTCGCCGACGAGAACTTCCAGTTGAAGCACGACAAGCCCGGTCTGCTTTCCATGGCCAACGCCGGCCCCAACACGTAAGCTCTCCTCCTTGGCTATCGCCTCCGCAAACGCAGTAGCTAACCCATCACCAGCAACGGCTCCCAGTTCTTCGTCACCACCGTCGTCACCTCGTGGCTCAACGGCCGCCACGTCGTCTTCGGCGAGGTTGCTGACCAGAGCGGCCTCAACATCGTCAAGGCTCTCGAGGCTACCGGCTCCTCCAGCGGTGCCGTCAAGTACGGCAAGCGCCCCACCATCGTCGCCTCTGGTGCGTTGTAAAGTGCTTCTCGCTCGGTTCTTTGTACGTTAGGTCCTGCTTCTGAAATGTCGCGAGAGACACCTTGACGCGAAAGGGAGGACGATTTTGGTAGAGACTTGGGTGTTGCGCCATCACGCAGCTTGGCGGCAATCAGCTTTACAGCTGCTACATAGTCTCCAAGACAAAAAGTTACTGCCACCTTCCGTCCACCACAACGTGACATGTACCTTGATCCGTTTTTACCTATCATGACCTGGTCGGCCGAATACCAAAGCATTGTATGATCAGCCTGCTGTTCCTAAAGCAACGTTGAAGACGTAAAATCACAGAGCGCCCTGTTGATGGGCCATGAATGCATTCAACTCAACGAGCGTGGTGGGTTCAAACATGTCATTGGTATAATTACAGCCAATGGCTGGTCGCCATTGAAGCTAAATTCCCTTTGGGGAGGATGGAAACTCTACCCTTCCTGGCAAACCGTCCCGCCCATGTCCTTCTTTTTGATAATTCGTGCCAACGCCAATGCAATGCTTTCCATGATGAGAATCAACCAGACCCAACCCGAAACAAAAATTCAGTCCCCACTCTTCAACTTTCACGGGCCTTATTCCAGACCCAACCACCGCTGAAAATAGACGCAATTGCTCGCGCTCACAGGACCGCCCTCCTCGCAGAGCTCAAAAACAGGACACCGCCCGCAAGGAGCCTCCGTGTAACCGTTGACAAACGGCTCCGGACCGCCCTCGTCGTCCTGGCGGCCCGCCCAGGCGGTGTTGCTCTGTCGCGGGGCGCGGCAGACTCTGTAGCCCACACGACCAGACACGCGGATCGACTCGATGAGGCCGTCGAACACGAGCACGTCAATGAGCTTCTGCATGTCTTCCTCGCCGAGGATCGTGTCGCTCGTAATGCCAGACTGGGAGATGAAGCGCGCGATCTCCCGCACGGTGGGGTATTCTTTGAAGCCGGCCGGGAGGGGCAGGCAGGTTGGTTCTCGCTTGGGGGGTTGGACGGCCGGAGCGGGTTTGGTGTCTGCTTCGCTGGCGCCTGACATTTCTCCCGCGCTGCGCTTCTTGCCCTTGGCATCTGGGAGACCGCCCTTGAGGACGCCCTTCTTGGGCACGGCGGTGCGGGTGGCGGTGGACGAGGAAGAGGAGGAGCCGGTGCTGTGGTAGGTGCTCTTACGCTTGACGTAGTCAAAGATGACGCGCTGGATTTCCTCGATGAAGGCTTCGTCGAACGTCGAGTCGGTGAACCAGGGTCCGCCGGTGGCGCGTTCCGAGGGCCGCATGGAGGCCTTGATGAACATGCGCTTGTTGGGGTGCTCGACGTTCTTGAAGGGGGCGATGAGTCCCTTTCCTTGAAGCTGTTTGAGGGCCGTCTTGAGGACCGAGTCGTGCATGTTGAGGCGGTTCTGGATTGATTTGGACCAGATTCCGTCGCCGCCTGCTTCGTCGATTGCGCCGTAGACCATGCGCTGTTCGTCTGTCGTGCAGAGCTTGTATCTGGAGAGGAGGTTCGTTAGCAATGGCTGGCGAGCTTGACGCTGTCCAAGCATTGGGAGTGAAGCTTACTTTTCCGCATCTTCGACGGAACGCCATCGCCAGGCGAGGCCGGTCTGGGAGGATACGGCGATGAGGAGGCGGTCGTTTGTGAGGCTCTGGAGGCATTTCAAGAGGGTGACGGTGTCGCGGTTCGGGATCACGTCAAAGTCGAGGAGGTCGTATTGGGTGAAGAGCTCGTTCTCGTCGCCGGCCTTTTGAAATTTCTCGTACAGCATGTCCTTCCACACCTCTAGCTTGGAGTCGGTGCTCGAGGTCGTTGCCGCCGAGGGCGAGTCCGCCGCTGGGGGTGCGGGAGCCATTGCGGCTGTCTACGGCGGCGGCGGCCTGACTCGCTTTGGTGTCGTAATTATTTGTAGGAGGGTGCGATCGCGCAACGAGAATTGAAAGGTTCAGGGAGTCGGTTCGAGCCCAGCTGTGTCGTAGATGTGGCGGGGGACTTGCTGGTGATGTGTGATCGATCGGTGGTGGTGGGGGAGGTTGTGCCTGGGGGATTTTTTTAAGTCGTCCAGGGTCGTAGTCGAGTTTCGCGCGATCGAGGGGTCGTCGCTTTGCGCCGGCAGAGGAGTATGAGGTGCTGAATTGAAGGATCAAACTCCGAGTGCAAATTAAAGATCAATATCTGGTCGTCAATTGAATCGCATCAGCAAGTATTGTGTCGGGAGTGTCGATAGGAAAGAGAAGATTCGTCGGGTCGGAGCAGACGCCCAGAGAGGCGCTTCGCCCACGGTAAGGTGGGTGCGGTTGACTTGGGTCGGCGACGATGGTGGGATTGGTTTTTGGAGCTGCATCAGAGGTCGATCAGCACTGCGGGCAGCCCCAGGCCAGAAAAAAAAAAAAAAAAAGTAGCTGCCCCGCCTCTCAGAGAGAAACCATAAGGAACCTGCGCACCTGGCGGCACATCAAATCAGCCTTGCATTGGTGCCGGATGAACTGCGGGTGGGCTGCTATTGCGCTGGGATGGCCTGCTGAGGATAGGTACGTACCGCTAGCGATGGTGGAGCATCGTCGACGTCTTGTTGCAAAGACTCGGGACTCTCTTGGTCATGCTTGATATAACTTGGCACAGAAAGGATGATTGAATCTCACTTGAACTCGAGTCTCTTCAGATGAAGCACAAGAAATTATGGAGGTCTCGGCCAAAAGTTATGTGATCCCATCGCGCCTTTTCTACTTGAGTAGTTCTCCGAGTGAGTCACTGCTATGAATCCTCAAGGTCGAGACGACATGTCAGCCTGTGCCTCGATGATCCTGTGGCACAGCAAGCCCGGAAGTCAAAGTCAATATGACGAGACATTTCCTAGTTCTTCATTTCATCAAATGATGGCTGCGAGGTTTATGGAATGCAATCCCATGTAATGGGGGGCTGCGTTCTCACTGCAATTCCATCGCAAACTCGTATAGAAAATCATTAAGAACGCATCCTCTAAGCATGAGTTCGTCGTTTGATGTCCAAATTGTGACAGAATCTAACAGTTGAATTCCAGAGCCTTGATTTTATTTCTTTCACGCTACCATTGGTGTGGTTTTGCAAGAACTTTTGATTTTCATAGCGATTTATCAACAGGCTTATTCAACAATGCTTCTGAAAACGATTGATATCACTTCTTATCTCCTGAGCAGCCATCTCATGACTCATTTGAGATCTCGCAACATTATCGAACTCAAAAGCTTGGGCATATTGCTACTACCAAGGGCCTTGAGAGCTGTAAGAGTTGGCTAAACCTTTCATATGAAGTTGATTGGTTCAGTTGTGGCTCGTTTTGATGGAGAGTTAAGTTTATGTCGCTTTACTCAGTCCGGACGGTAATGGTTCCAGTACATCACACATTGCTCCCAAAAGACAAACTCAAATTTGACAGTAGCATCAAGGAACGGCCTTTGGCTATGTTACGTCGACATACTTCTCATTTCCACTAACCTGCCAACACAGATATTGAGCTCCTTGGTCTGACTCAACTTGCAATGGCTTACCTGGGTACATAAGACGATCAGTCGAAGTTTGCTCTTCTATCTCCCTCATTCTTCTTCTTCTTCTCTTGAGTTCTGAGACATTGGGCAGTCCTGTGGGTTTTCTAAAAAGGCTCGCGATTGCCATTGTCGTGAGGGACAGAACTAGCAAGGCCGTATAAGCTTCCATCATCCCAACTCATCGCTACGAAACGTCACACCTGGGAATCGATATTGAGGAAGAACGAAACTCAGGATGAGAGAAATATGCAAATTATCTGCCAAGGACATATCCCCGACCATCAAGGCATTTCATGTACACATGCACAATCCTGGGAGGAAGTCATGTACGGAACCAGTCCCGGCCCACGGACCACAAAAACCACACATAAAACCGGAGCACCGGTCCCCGCCCCACTTTACGGCAAGAAAATTGGTAAAAATCTCTTCACATCATGGCTTACAACCCTACTTAATGACTCAACCGGCCTCCACTTCCAACAAACCAGCAGGTCCTCCGGATCAGCTTCTAATAACCCGCCTTGCTAGCTCAATCGGTAGAGCGTGAGACTCTTAATCTCAAGGTTGCGGGTTCGACCCCCGCGTGAGGCTCAAATCCTCACCGCGATTGGCAAAGCCACTCTTCGGGTTAATCTTTTGCTTTTGGTTCGTCGTGGAAGGATGGTCTTGTCTGCTCTTCCTTGCTTTTGGGTATGTGTTATGCTGTATAGTAAGGGACCCACCTCAGGTAAAGAAAAGTCACCGGCAAGTCTCGTAACCCTCCTTAGCTTGTTGAGTTGGTCAAAACTAGTGTATTAGCAGTATTGCTTTGATGATATCTCGCTGTAGTACGCCCATCTGTTCTAGGCAAACGCTCCGACAATGGCCATGAGTGATGCTCCGCCAATCACAGCCATGTAGGCATTAAGCCGTTTCCGCCCCTGCAGAATCTTGTAGCTCTTCTCTGAGAGGAAATCTTCGGCCAGCAGCTGGACCAATCCAGCAAAGAGGAGCAACCCAGCCGAGATGGCGTTCATGAACCCAACCATCAGCAACCCGGTCTGGCTCATGGGGTCGTACAGATTATGCACGATGAGACCAATGAGCTGACCGAGCGGTGTCGTGCCTCCGAACGCGAGAACCATGAGCCACGGCCGCGCCGATGACCGCGGCAATTGGATGGCGGCGATTCGACTGCCGAGAGCGAGCCCTTCGAATGTCTGGTGGAAGCTGATGGCGATGAGGAAGACAATAAAGGTCGGGCCTGTTGCGACTGAAATAGCCATGCCGATGAACACGCTGTGGAAGAGAATGCCTCCTTCTAGTAGCAGACACTGGCGGAGGAGCTTGCTCTGCTCCTCTTCCGTGACGATCTGGGGTGCGCCGGGGGTGACTGTAATCTTTGGGCGAATGCCGGGTGAGCTTCGACGTCTGGGCTCGTCGGCGGGGGTCGGGTCCAGCTCATTGACGTCAAGGTCAATGTCCGATTCGTCATCGTCGTCAAAGCTATCTCGACCGTTGGCGAGGCTATCATTCGCTTTCGCACGCGTCGGTGTCGAGCTCGGCAAAGGCGATGCGCCGGCCATTAGCCCCTGAGTAGAATCCATATTATCGAGGCTGATGTCTTCCGGCCGGTGAGAGCCGTGTCTGTGCGATGCCAAGCTTCCCGCAGCATGCGTGTTTGCTGCAGAATGACCGCTGCCCTCTTCGTCATCCCAATACTCGTACTCGTGCGAATGGGAATGAGAGTGGCCGGCCCCGCGGGTGGCTAGGTAGGACTCGAGCGCGACGACGGAGAGTGCTGCTACCATGGCGATTAAGCCTGCCATCTGGGGATAGCCTTTGTTGAAGACGAACGGGAGACACGGGTCGGTGAGTGAGGTGAAGGCGGTTGGGAGGAGGTGGACAAAGGACGTTGCGAGGAGGACGCCGGTGCCGAAGTGCTGGCAGTAGAAGAGGATTATGCTCTGCGGTCGGCCTTTGGAGGTTCTTCTGGGGAGTAATGGGATTCCGCATGCTATCAATCATCAGCAAGCGCTCTTTCAAATGATATTCTACCCAGGAACGTGGGGAGAGCTCCTCCCGAGTGTTCCATCGCAGGCCATCATGGTCTCGCCAGATATCGTCGAGCTGTAGAAACCAGAAACGTGTCGCTTACAGATTGTACTCAGCGCCAATATCAAGATCAGCGCGCCAATGTGCAGCGCGGTATCGTAGGACTCCTTCCTAGATGAACCGCATTGTGGCTTCGTTGCTTCTGCCGCAGCAGCTTCGGCATTCGTGACTGGAGGTCCATGTCGTTTGGATAGTTCGGCGAGGAGGAATTCAGTTGGTATCGAGGCCCAGGAAGCGGCATCTTCGGGACAAGGCGTATGTTAGCGAAAAAGCCACATCGACATATCCAGCTTCGCATGGGGAACTGTCCCCCTCGCCGCCGGATATCTTGAGATTGTACATACCTCTTGGCCAAACTCCCGTGGCTCCTATATCACCCATTCTGAACAGCGGACGTTGATGATGTCTGGCACAATACCATGGCGGCTCTGCACCGGAGGAAAGATGCAGACGGGATGGTTCAAGAAGACAGAACCTAAAAACAGGGACAGAGAAGGGAGACGGATCGTGCCTCGTCTTCGTCCCAAGTCTGAGGTGCGCCCTGGGAAACGCGGGACCCGAAAGAAGTGTAAAAGTGCCCGGTGGTGAGCAGCACCGGGAGACAGGATAGGCGGGCCCTTTGCCCTTTGGGGGGTGCTTGGAGGGGGGCGGAGCTCCTGAATTGCATGGAGCTTCCCCCCCGGTCCACTGTGTCCTGATCTTCAACCCCGTGTCTCCCCCTATGAAAACATGCGCACACGGGGCCGCTTGACCCCTTGGATTTGCTGTTCAGCAGGGGTGACGGAGTCTCGGGGCCACCTTGACAGCTGCAATCTGCGCTAACAACGTAATCGCCCAGTGCCCTGGGGTTCTTTTGATCCTGAAAACGGCCCCCTGTGAACGCTGGGCGTTGATGTCTTATCGCTCATCCAGATTATGTCAGCCATACAACGATAAGATAAGAGCTATGACGAATGGTGGGCCTCGGCAACATGACTAACCGATTCGCGATATCGGTCGTCTATCGCAACAGCTCCCCAGGTCCCCCGACTGAGACCCAGTTCTGACCCCCCCAGGTCTGTGACACACAGCTTCTCAACCCCGTCTCAACCTCACCTTTGCAACTCAAGTTCCAAACTGAGGTATCGAATATCATGGCTGGAGCTCGTCGACTACAATTGGCCGGTTTGGCCCTGCTTGGTGGTGTGTCCGCCCTGCAGATGCAGATGCAGGTACCTGAACAACAAGCGCCGATGATTGCCGACGATGCGCCTGTCGTCGCAGCATCCCCGTCCACCGCGTCCTCGTCGTCTTCCAAGAAGCCCTTGGTCGAGACTGAGGCTCTTCAGGATACCATCAAGGCCGACAACCTGCTTGCGCGTGCCAAGGACCTCTACGATATTGCCAAGTTGGGAGAGGAGGAGTACAACCACCCCACGCGCGTCATCGGCAGCGATGGTACAACCGTCTCCCCAGCAACTTGCTATCTTTCGTGCTAACCAGTCGAATAGGTCACCTCGGAACTTTGGAGTACATCTACTTCGAGCTCGCGAAGCTGGGCGATTACTACAAGATCTGGAACCAGACCTTCCCTGCCGTCTCTGGCAATGTTTTCGAGTCGCGCCTCGTCATCGGAAACGATGTGCCAAAGTCAGCCTCTCCCATGGCCCTGACCCCGCCCACGAAGGATAAGGAGCCCGTATACGGCGACCTCGTTTTCGTCGAGAACAACGGATGCGACGCTTCCGACTACCCCTCCAAGGTGAAGGGCAATATCGCCTTCATCCGCCGCGGCACCTGTGCGTTTGGAGCCAAGAGCGAGCAGGCCGGCAAGGCTGGTGCCATCGCCGCCGTCGTGTACAACTACGAGACCGAGACTGTGCACGGCACCCTTGGAACCCCTTCTCCCGACCACATTGCCACCTTTGGTCTGGGTGGCGACGATGCTAAGCCCATTCTTGAGAAGCTGGGCAAGGGCGAATCCGTTGACGCAATTGCCTACATTGATGCCGTTGTCAACACCATTGAGACCACCAACATCCTTGCCCAAACTATCGAGGGCGACCCGGACAACTGCGTGATGCTCGGTGGACACAGCGACAGTGTTGCCGAGGGACCTGGCATCAACGACGACGGCTCTGGCAGCTTGAGTCTCTTGGAGATCGCCACTCAGTTGACCAAGTTCAGCGTCAACAACTGCGTTCGCTTTGCTTGGTGGGCAGGTGAGGAGGAAGGTCTTCTCGGCTCTGACTACTACGTCGACGTCTTGCCTGAGGAGGAGAACCAGAAAATCCGTCTCTTCATGGACTACGACATGCTTGGCAGCCCCAACTACGCGTACCAGGTCTACAACGCCACGAACGCAGTCAACCCCACTGGCTCCGAGGAGCTGCGTGACCTCTACGTGGACTGGTACAAGGCTCACGACCTTGCTTACACCTTTATTCCGTTTGATGGTCGCAGTGATTACGACGCTTTCATCCGCAACGGCATTCCCGGTGGTGGTATCGCTACCGGTGCTGAGGGCATCAAGACCAAGGAGGAGGCCAAGCTGTTCGGCGGTAAGGCCGGTGACTGGTACGACCCGTGCTACCACCAGCTGTGTGACGATGTTGGCAATGTCAACTTGACTGCTTGGGAGATCAACACCAAGGTGAGTTTTGCAACTTCTTGACTTCTATCCATATTTCTGACGTGTGTTCTAGTTGGTCTCCCACTCTGTCGCCACCTACGCCGTGTCCTTCAAGGGCTTCCCCGAGCGTACCAAGGCGGCTGCCGCCTCTACTTACTCAAAGAAGACCAAGTACCATGGCAGCAAGCTTTTCATCTAGGTGTGAGCAGTCATATTTTGTCAACGGTATGAGGGACTAGTGTACACTATCTAGCATATAGGGATTGGGGTGTATCAAGGTGTTGTGTTTGGTGTTGGTGCGAAGGATGGGGTTTCTGGCGCGCATTCATAGTATTACATGCTTCATAGACAACCAGTTTGCATTGAACGACGATGTCCGCCTTTGCGTGAGTAAGAAGAATGATCTCTATATACGGGTGTCCGATGGTCAATGGAGCTGTCAAACACCGATCCACCATTATAGAAAGCGGAGGCGGGGTGGTTGGTTGAGGAGCCCCGGAGAGCGGAGACGTTCTACCTTAGTTACCCCAGATTTCCCACCTCGTTGGATCCCACGCTCTTGGCATCCCTCATTCACATCCAACTTCTATACCATGGGAAATCCGCCTGAAGCCGACCCTTGAAATGCCGGACCTTCCGTAAATCACTGACTAAATATCGGACTCAATGCCCTCTGGCTCAGTCAGCCGGACCGGCGCATGCCAGCGCTGTCACCGCCGAAAGGTCAAATGCGACCGCGCCCGGCCGTCATGCGTACCTTGCTCCCGGATCAACGTGCAATGTACCTACGCCGCGAGGGAGCATCAGATACAACTTCGCCGGCAGGATGTCGAGAGGCTTGAGCAGCATATACGAGACCTGCAGGCAGAGAATGATAATCTGACAGGGAGACTAGCCGAGCAGCAACGTCAAGCAGACACCGCGGATGAGAGGCTTGCGACTCCGAATACGACGTCAAGTCTAGGGCTGCAGACTGACGAGGCTGAACCACCAGCTGCTGGGGGCGGCGAGATTGCTAGTCAGGTCATTCATTTATCACTCAGCGCTGGAGGAGGTCGAGACTTTGTCGGCTCGACGAGCGGGTTGTTCCTCGCCAATCTGCTACAGTCTCACAGCCAATTTTCCGGGACACCTAGCCATACTGTTGGCCAACACCTAAGCTCAACGTCGCGTCATCACGGACGTACGGGAAGCCTTGTGCCCAGTGGAGCTTCGACTTTGCCTCCAAGGAGCATGACGGTAGAGATACTAGATGCATACTCCAGTCACGACCGGCTTTGCTACCCGTTTCTCTCACCGAAAGCACTGGATCGAGCATTAGATGCCGTGTACGAGGTAGGACACTTGGAGAAGGCGGATCCGATCGACAGCTTTCTCGTCGACATGACTCTTGCCATCGGAACGGCGCAAGTCTACAAGCTGAACTGGAACGGGTTCTGGGATTCTGAGGTGCATTACATGCGTGCCATGACGCGCTTGGGCGATGTGCTCTCTCGAGGAGGCATCACTGCTCTTCAGGCCTTGCTTCTGATCTGTCAGTACAGGATGGGAACGACATCACACGATACGAGTACTAGCGTCTGGCACTTGATTGGGGTTGCGGCGAGGACATGCTTCGAGCTTGGCCTGCACAAGGCGTCGACGTATACCGTCCCTCCGGCACGACCAGGTGAGGAGGCGGATGCGGCTGGAAGACATGAAGACATTGAGATTAAGAGGAGGTGTTTCTGGAGTGTGGTATCGATGGATCGAATTGCCAGTCTCATTCTGGGACGGCCGCTGGCTATTCAGCTTGAGGATATCGACGTCGAACTCCCGCCCTTCGACATGCCTGGCTGCCCCGCCCCGCTTTCCAATTCCTTGTCGACGGCCACTTTTAGGACTCCAGAATGGCATCTCGGAACCGCAGTCTTTGTCCACATCGTGAGGTATCGATTAATCTGCGGCAAGATCCTCAACGTCCTCCACCGCAGTGCGAACACTTCCCGAGACCCAGTCACCTACGAAGACAGTCGAAGCGCCCTCGTCGAAGAGCTCCAGTCATGGCGTGAGGGGACGACGAACCTACCACTGATTCCCCCAGATGCGCCGCTCACCTCACCCGCCAGCAGGTCCAGTTTCCGCTCGGCGGAATGGTACAATCTCCTGTACCACAACGGGATCCTGATGCTGTTCCGCCCGTCTCCCACATTATGCGATGCCACTGGAAATAGCATCGTGCTACAACACATGTTTGACTCTTCGCAAGAGGCAATAAAGCTGTACGCCAACCTACATCGCTCCAGAAAGATCAACTATTCTTGGGTGACACTCCACTCCGTCTTCATCGCAGGGCTCTCCTACATCTATGCACTGAGAAATCATCTCCAGCACATACAAAGCCGGAACCCCGCGAATGCAAACACGCCTAGAGCTACACTACGAACAACCCCCACAATCAGTCAGGTGGTCAACGACACCCGAGCCTGCTCAAAAGTGCTGGTGGCGGTATCGGAGAGATGGGCCATGGCGCGCAACTGCTCTGAAGTGTTTGACCGCCTCAGTGACGCCGTTGTCGCTGATATTGTTGAAGCCCAAACTGGTCACGGTTCATCATCAAATGAGCCGGCTTATAACAACCAACCCACAGGCGAGACTGAACACCTATCTCAAGCTATGGACATGAGCCTCAATGATGCCATGTATGGTCAAGCCTCTGGCCAGAATTTTGTCAATATGACAGTCGACGAGACTTTACGAGATTGCTTCGGGGATCTGCAGAATATCTGCTATGACCAGTATCACAGCGATGCGATTGCTCAACTTTCCCAAGATTGGTTATTTGGGATGGGAAAAACTCCAAGTCGCTACTTCTAGCGTCATCAGATATTGAAGGCAGATACGTTCTTCCATTATTCGTACAAGCTGTCATTATAACTCAAATCCTGCCCCGCTGTAGGAATCTTCGCGGCACCTCAACGTATCGACTCCGTAGGTACTCCGCAATTCCCTTGCCCAAGCCATCTATCCTATCCGAGGATGCAATTCCTCCATTCAAGTTGTCCAGAATTCGGCTAATACAATCATCAGTCAACATTGATACAGTGAAATAAGCTGCTTGACTCACAAATGCACAGCACTGATCCCGGGGAACTCGACCCGTTCGACCCTCCGATCTGGATTATTCTTGTACCAGTCGTCACCCAACAACTGCTTGAGCCGACTCACGGTCAAGATAGTCCGCAGCCAGGGATACTCATCTTCATTGCGAACGAAGAAGCCCACGTTCGAGTTGTCGGCCTTGTCGCCAGAACGAGCGTGGACAATGCTGCCCAAAGGCGCGAACTCTGTGGGGCCCAAGGAGACGATGTCGATTGGATCTGCTGTGTCTGCGGATGGCCTCTCAATCTTGTACACCGCTGTGTTCTGAGGCGGAGCAACGGAAATCAGGTTTCCTGAGCCCAGAAGCATTTGGTGGTCGATAGCTGATTGTGGTATCAGCGCCGGGAACATCTCCATGAACGGCTTGGGGTCCATCGTTCGGAAGTCTAGCGACATGTGATAGCCGGGGTAACTCTGCATCCTCACCGCATAGATGGGAATCTTGAAGTCGACGGCCGCAATATCCTCCTTCTTTCGCGCTTGCGCAAACACACGAAGCTGCACGGTGCCCGCCTGCTGGGAGCTAGGGTTCCGGGCTTGTGATCCGTACTGCTCGATGCTCAACCTACTGAAGTTGCTGTCCTTGAAGAGGTATCTCAGCTGATTCTTCATCATGGTCACCTTCCCATCCACGTCAAGTCCGTTGATGTAGAACGTCGCCTCTGCCTGGTACCCGCCTTCGGCAGCGAACATGACTTTCGTTGTCGGTGGCGGCGGAAGGCCCTTGGCACCCCATACTCTAACGCGATCTTCTCCGGAATCTTTCTGCTCTTCGACGCGGACATTTGACAAGTCGGCCACTACGTCTGGGTTGAGGTAGAGGTGGCCCTGGAGCTCGTACAACAGCTGCGCCGTGACGGTATGCCGCGTGACATGGCCGCCGCCCTCGGTAGTCTTACTGATAACGCACTCGCCGTCCCGAGAAATCTCCGCCACGGGGAACGCGAGATCGATCAGCTCCGGGAGGAAGTCTTTGAAGCCAGAGAAGTTGGCGCCCACGACGTACGGCCCGCACTCAATCAGGTGCGCCGCGAGCAGGGCGCCAGCCAGCTCCTGATGCTGGTCCTCTCTCCAGCCGTAGTACCACGCCGCGGCGCCCATCACTGGCGAAGCATCGGTGCATCGTCCGCAGACTACGATTCGCGCGCCTGCTCGGAGAGCCTCCACGATTCCCCAGCACCCGATGTACGCGTTGCCACAACAGGGCTCGAAACCCCAATCGTCGAGGGTGGTTTCTGGATGATCCAAGTGCGGGAACGTCAAATCACCCCTTCGTAAAGGATCTTGGAGTAATCCAGAGACATCATCCCCCAAAACCGCGGCAACCACACTCTCAGGATACCCCTTTCTCTTACACAGCTCTTTAACCTTATCAAACAGCGCAACGGTATTGAGCGCCCCCGCGTTCGTCACGACGCGGACATCCTTGGTCATGATGTCGTCGATGCATTCTTCGAGCTGCTCGTAGAAGCCGTTCTCGTAGCCGAGGTTGGGGTCGACGTCGCGCTTGGTGATTGCGTTCCAGGCGATGTTCATCTCGGAGAGCCAGTCGCCCGTGATGACTTGGACGTTGCCGGAGCGCAGCATGCGCGCCATGGCGTGGGGGTGGTCGCCTGTTGCGCCGGAGACGTTTCCGATTCTAATGGGCGGTTTATCGATCATGTTTGGGTTTGTGGCTGTTGAAGGAAGGGAGACAGGGTAGAGACAAGAGACAAGAGGAGCAAGGCGGGGAGTAGAGGTGCAAGATATCAGAGAAGGGTAATATTAGACTTCAACGCGGTCCGCGGTATTATCATACAAGATTTCCCAAGCTGTCTGATTCATATGTGCCGACGGATATCTTCGGAATAACAGATATAACCGCAATCCGTTATGTGCCGACGGATATCTTCGGAATAACAGATATAACCGCAATCCGTCTTCTGGATTCAGAAGGCATCAGGAACCGCCGATTGCGGGCTCAGTACCTGCGGACCCAGCACCGGGCCAAGACCTCAAACGGACATCATCTGTCTGCATCATCCTACCGATCCATCGGGATCGCAACGGGCCCAATCAAAGTGGCATGATACCAACTACTCAGCAAGAAAGCTTCGATCCTCACTTGAGTCTCGTAGTTGATCACGGTGATCTACGCCCACAGGAGAGCGGCACCACATTCCGAAGCATCGGCGCGGCCGCCGAGGCCGAAAACTCCCCATAACTCTTCTCTCCCAGTCTCTCAACATTTTACTGAGAACCAACACGGCACATGGGAGCGTCTCAATAGGGGATTATTTGATTGGCTCAGTCTCCAGAGGGACGAGTAAGAAGAGCCATATCTGGCCCACCTAAACCATTCCCCAATACCACCATCCAGCGGGGAACTGAAGAGAAATGCCAAGGCGGAAATCTGGAGTTGGAGAGAGACGGCGGCTGGGCAATGAGAAGCCATGAATCCTTCGTGGCGGCGCGGGGACGTGGCCGCTCTCCAAGCTCCTCCAGGGTGTTATCGGCTTTCGGCGCCGCTGGCCGAGATGTGCTTTGCCGCTTCACGCTTCCGCGGGCTGCAGTGCTGCACCATTGTGGAACGGCGTCACTCTGGGTCCAAAGCTACGGATTACCACCCTGCCACCACGTTACGGCGCCCCCCACCAGATATCGCGGAGCCAAGGATGCCAAATCCGGGGTTGTTGCGGGGAAGAGGAACCGAGGGGGTGATTGAGGTCTTGTTGAGATTATTATACATATACGGTCTTAATTACCCTTGACCAGGTTTCTGGATGTGACCTTCGATTCATTGCTTCAACACTTCGACTTGTTTGCCATCGTCTGTTGTAACTCCGCTATCATTCTTGCTGAGGATTAGTAGCAACGACAGCACCATTGTCAAGATGGCGACGCAGACGGAAACAGTGGCCAAGGGCCTTCCGGCACAATCACCAACCGATATCGAGAAGCAGCAGGTTCTTCACCAGGAGCATTCTCATGTCCTGGACGACGAGAAGAGGCCTGCGGCGCCGGTCGACTACTCTGGAGCTGCGGCCAAGACTGATCCTGTGGAGATCAAGCTTGTGAGGAAGTTGGATCTCTGGGTGATGGTATGACTCTCAAGACTCGAGCTGCTTGTCTGAACTTGGTCTAACTCTAAACTACGAAGCCAACTCTTTGGTTGATGTACTGGCTCAAGTAAGTCCTCTCCACCAACCCCCAAAGCCGACTCTGAGCTCCAACAATTAACACCACTCAGCTACCTCGACCGAAACGCAATAGCCCTAGCCCGCCTCAACGGCCTCGAAAAGCAACTCGGCCTCAGCAGCGTCGAATATTCCACCAGCGTCTCCATCCTCTTCGTCGGCTACATCCTTGGCCAGATCCCCAGCAACATGATCCTCACCCGCGTGCGGCCCTCCTGGTACATGGGCGGCTTCATGATGGCCTGGGCCGTTGTCTCCGCCCTCACCGCCGTAGTGAAGGATTACAAAGGGCTAGTGCTCACACGCTTCTTTCTGGGTGTTGTCGAGGCGCCGTATTACCCCGGCGCGCTGTACATCCTGTCCATCTTCTATACCAGGAAGGAACTCGCGACGCGGATTAGCGTGTTGTACTCTGGGAATATTCTGGCGACTGCGTTTGCGGGGTTGATTGCTGCGGGCGTGTTTCACGGGATGGAGGGGTTGCATGGCCTCGAGGGGTGGCGGTGGTTGTTTATTCTGCAGGGCGCGGTGACGTTTGTGATTGCCATGATGGCTTGTTACACGCTTCCTGATGAGCCTCTTACGACGAGGTGGCTTACGCCCGAGGAACGACAGCTTGCGCATGATAGGATTGAGAGGGATACTGTTGGTGCGAAGATGCAGAGTAGTACTTGGGGAGGTCTGCGCGAGGCGATTGTCGATCCGAAGGTGTGGGTGTTTATCTGGATGCAGCATTGCCATCTTGCGACGAACGGGTTCAAGAACTTCTTTCCCAGTAAGTTGGCTTCCCGAGGGGTCTTGTTCCGGTCGTTAACCTGAGTGTGCAGCGATTGTGCAAACGCTCAACTTCAACACGACGATTACGCTGGTCCTGACGTGCCCGCCATACCTCATCGCCGGTATACTTTCCATTGTCTGGGCTTGGAGCTCCGGACGTTTCAACGAGCGGACGTGGCATATCACCATTTCCAAAGCCGTTGCTGCTTTCGGGTTCATCTTGGCTTGCGTGACGATGAATACCGGCGCTAGGTACTTTGCCATGACGGTGTTTACTATTGGCACGTACGGTGTAAACTCGATGTGAGTACCCAAACTAGGTTCCCAGAGATATTGCCGTGGTTCTAGTAAAGCTGACATCATTTGGGAACAGCTTGCTCGGCTGGGTTGGAAGTACGTGCGGACAGACGAGAGAGAAGAAGGCTTCGGCGCTGGCGATTGTGAATACCAGCGCTAGCATCAGCTTTATTTGGACTCCTGTAAGTCGGCTGCCCCTGTTTCCCCTTAAAGTATCCAGAGAACTCCTTTCCTAACCATGCTGCTAGTACTTGTGGCCCACGTCAGATGCCCCAAGATATGTGATCCCTATGGCCAGCAGTGCGGCGTTCTGCGTGGCCTGCGCCGCTGGTGCATGGTTGATGAAGTGGATGCTTGTGAGAGAGAACAGGAGGATCCGGGCAAGCAATTCTGAAGCCACGCTATTTTATGCCCATTAAAGGGAGATTTATAGGTTGATTATAGGACGAAATTGACTACAACGATTCAAGTTTCGATCACTGTGAGTCAAGAAGAGTTGGTTGGCTTTCGTAGCTGCCTTCAGTGAGCGCAAGGGGTGAGCACAAGGGACAAGTTACCGATCGATGCAAAGTCATTTCTTTGAGTGGACCTGACTAGAGCGGTTCGAACCCGCTCAAAGGATCCATATCGAAACTGAGTAGCCCTCCTTCCAAGTCATAGAAGTCCCCTTGATGCTCTGTGTTAGCCAATTCGGGCCACATAGACTTGAACAAGTAGTTTTCAAAGGATACAAGGTCCTGAGTGCCCATTCCAGCCTCCACCGAGTCGGAACTCGAACTGGCGAGGGGCTGGTTCACTTGGTCTATCCCTTGCAACGTAGTCTGAGAACCTCTCTCGTTGCTCCACGTCGATGGATCACCGAGCATGATGTCTTCGGCTATACTCGAATGATCTCTATGAGTTCCTTGGTCACGTTGGACTTCTGAGCTTGACTCAACCTGCGGGCCTACTTCTTGCTGCCAAAGCTCCCTCAATAGAACGCTGTATCCATGACAGATGTGCGATTCAGTTGAGGCCACTTCGTCCAGGGTCAATATGAAGGCTTGCGATAGGCCTCTCACTTGTTTCTGCTGAGCATGGCCCCGAACAACGCCTGAATTGAGGGCCTTGTACAGAAAGACTGCGGCATAGAGCCCGAAGCTTCCAGCTTCAGTCAGTCTCGAACCGCACTGGGCTGTGAGAACCTTCGAGATGGAGAACTTACAGATGATAACGCGAAGGGAGATAACACAGAATCCTTCGCGCATCCAGCTCCGTTATGAGACCAAGGAGTTCTCTTGCTGCCGTAATAGCACAAGCAATGTATTTTGCGTCGGGTGAGGCCATAAGACCATTAGAGAAAAGATCCAACCCCGGTCTCTTGTTGCCATGTAGTTGCCGTCGGTCGTTCCGCCAAGGGCCTTGATGTTGAGACTCACGCGTCACCACGGCATGAAAAGAAAATGCGTTAATATACAAACAGAGATACTCGTGCGAGATACGGAGCGTAGATTTAAGCTTCGGAGAAACTTGGAGACCTTCCCAATTGATACTCCATGCCGTTGCTGCTTCCATTAGGTCATCCAAGTAGCGCGGGTAATCGCCGTTGTTAATCATAGACTGCGTTCTATCATTAGCTGAGTATAGTATCGAGTGGGCGTTGTGAAGTATCTGCATCAAATCCAAGTGCGCGTGCAGAACTGATGCATAGTCGTCGGTACTACATCCAACCACAGGCTTCAGATTCGGAAAGTCCTTGGCCGTGAACTTGGAAGAGAGAGCCGGTCCACGGGACCAGAAAGACTGACCCAACCGAACCGAGATCTGCCTGTCTGCCAAGTAGGTGACTGCAATTGGGAGCATGATCAGCGCAAACTTCTTCTACCAGTTGAAATTCTTAAACTCACACATCCAAATGAGACGATTCTGCTCCTGTTTATCGTCTACTGTCTCTCCCGATGTCGGACTCCGGAATGCGGCACGGTCTAGTCTCAACGAGTAGCCCAAGCGTACGGCGAGACCGACAATTGACCAAGCTGTTTGTCCTTCACTGAAGTGGTCCTTATGAACCGCCAATGCGGATCGTTTTGTCTCGATATGAGGCAACCACTCAGATAAGAGTAGCAGACCCTCGACTGTTCGCGGGGTTCGAGTCCATGGATGGGCTAGGAGCACTTGAAGAAGTAAACTTTGTACGTAATTCCAACACTGGCTGTGAATATGTGCGTCTCCTGGAGAATCTCTTGATGCAATAGTCAACAAGACTGCCAGTAAAAAGTAGTCGCGCTTTTGTAGCTGGCCAGGCTGGGTGAAGAAGAATGTCGGAGTAACAGGGCAGTACGGGTGATAGTTGCTTGCAAACCTGTTTCGTTGAGTCTTGAATACAGTCATTTCGGGGGTTTGACCTACATATCCAGGAGTTCGGATGCCTTCTCAACGCGAAGACCACCTCGTCGAATCAACTCAAAGTTGTCTAGTCCCGACATCGTATCTGTCATGCATGTAGGGGGCGAGGTTCCTATCCGAGAGCTAGAGCCGTTGACTTCCTCCAGTCTTTTAAGAGTGTCTCTGGGCTTGGCTGAGGGTATGGAATTCGTATGGTCGGACGTTGGAGGATGTGTAATTGGATTCCTAGTAGATGCTTTGTTCCTTGAACGAGCCAGGATCTGCAAAGCATCGGAAGGATTCCTGAGCTCCATGTCGTTCTGATCGTCGGGTCCTGTAACTTCATCTTCGCTACAGCTGTCTTCGTTAGTTGATGGGACGAAGACTGACGACCGAGGAGATGCCGGCCCGGGTGATGGTTCGACTGAGGAAGGAGATGCTTGAGTGTTATGATCCCGCCTTGCTTTACGAGACCTGCGCGCCGAAGACACAACACATTCACTGCCAGAATAGTAACAGGAAACGCAGGGAGGTTTCATAGGCTCTCCGACTCCTTCACTGAGATGTGTTGATTAGAGTAGACTCATTGGACGAATCGCGGGCATACTCACAAGTTGCACTTGGTCTTTCGACTTCGGCATCTCGTACACGCGCGGTACGACCTTTTCCCTGTGCCAAGAGTCATGGTGAGTACAGCGCAGACAGTACGAGTGAATTGATTCGTAGCTCCACTGGTAACTTACGTAGACATAATTTGACGTTGTTTGGAAGTGTTGTTGGCGGCGGCCCGGATAGCGGGGGCCAGCCGTGTTCGTCGGCATTGGTCGGCAAGGGACGGCACCGGACGGCACAGAGTGGATATTGAGAATCAAGCAGAGCAGTCGGCTGTTCCTTTCAGCCGCGAGTCGGAATGGGATGAAGCCGACTCTCGATCGCAACGTTTATTCTTCTCCAACATTATTCCAAACACATAATTATGATGCAAAAGTGCAATGCAAATTAGACAAAAGCCAACTCAAACCCATTGACCGCCCTCATTTGCACGCACTGACGCCATTTAGGTAGTTTGGCGTTTATTTATTCCACAAGAGCTTTTCGCTACTAGTTGACTGAATAAGCTTTCAAGATAGTATCTCGCTAAATCAAGAAACTAAACGAATGAATTTAAAGGTGATATACCTATCCCTTTCCAAAAGGATTAGAAGAAGACCGGAAAAGCAATTAAAATGCACGATGTTGGTTTACTTGGCCGAGCTCTCTGATCACCGCGCCACTCTCATCCTCCATTCCCCCCTTGGCCCTCAAATCATATTTCAGGAGCCGCCGGACGTAAGAAGTAAAGGCATTATTGACGGAGTATGATCGAGACTTCCGAGACGTGTTACTCCTGCTCATCACGTAAAAGTTGTTCTCACGTAGTGTCCCTCTTGACCGCTTGTCATCGTTCCATGTACGATGCCTGTGTTGATCGGTGGCTATCGAGGCCCTTCGCAGAGCGCCGCTCACACTGTCTAATTTTCAGTAGCTACTCGATCAGGAACATGATCGTGAATCTCGGATATGGTGATGGCGACGGCGACAACGTAGGTAGTATGCATCTTGGACATTATCGCCCATCAGACCGAGGGATATCCTTGAGGGGTGGAGAGAACCACTTCTTTCTTATTGCGCCATTCCGGTAATGTTCTAAGATATGTCTTTGACGGATTCTCATATTTCTGTCGGTCGTTGCTTGCGTGTCATTGGGTATAGCGCGTGGGTATTTCTTCTTGTTGACACAAAACCCACAAAAGAAGTTGTCTTTTCCGCAGTCACTCCGTTTTAGGACATCGTCTATCGCATCCCAGCCGTGGTTGTTCCAGTAGTGTTGATAGAAATCTTCGAATCTGCAGTACATTTGCAAACACCTGCATCTTGGATCGCCAGGGATGATGTTTGAGGGAACGCCAGGGCGACCAGGAGTAGGAGGCGAGTGCTCCTCGCATAGATAGAATATAAGGTTAGGGTGGGCTTTATCACAACGCATCCACGCAGCCTCGGTAGCATACTCGCGTCTACAATGGACACACCCAAGTTTGGTAGGCTGTCCAGCCTGCCTTGCCTGTCGTTCAGCTGCGATTATTTCTTCATCTTGGTCCTCTCCTACTCCATCAGGCATAGGCGGAAACTGTATGACTACTTGCTCATGTTGGGCAGACATGATGCTCAAGTTCTATCATAACATCAGCATACGCAGTCACACGTTGGAACCTGGCTGATAGGAGATGAGAGAGGATTCGAGCTACCTTGATGTTCTTTCACCTTATTCTAGTTTGTCCAAGAGAGCTGAGCGTCTGAATCGAAAGACAAGGTCTGGTGAGTGATGGGTTTCACAGATGATCAAAATTGGAAGCTAGATGTCGAGAAATTGAAGCGTCTGGTGCGTGCTCATATACAAAAATACGGTCCTGCCACCATGGAGTGAGAGACATGGATCTGAATTGACTATTCGGCGAAACGTATCAATCACTCCAACTTTTGTACAACATCATCATGAAAGGACCTTACCCTCCCCTTTAAATTTTTACTGGGTGTCGCCCAAGCGGTAAGCTCCTCGCTAAGAATACTGAAAGAGATAGAGGTCACCACATTGATAAAACAACACATGCAACCATTCAAGAGAGATAGAATGCGGTTGAACATCATTTTCTTTGTCACTGTTAGATGCCACGAGATACATTCATCAGGCGGTCTGGGAAATTGTTAAGCGAATCTTGAGTCCTACGATAGTTCGGGATACCCGAGTATGTTATGAGCAAAGTGGCATGGAAGCATAATGAATATTAGTGCCTAGGATACTTTTTCTTGTCATCTAATACTTAGGTCTTTCAAACAAACATCGATGTAGCGCGACAGCCACAATATCAATCCCGGCAAACCAGGTGGCGCCTGAACCCACGAGACGGACTTGTTTGGTTCGACGTGAGGCAACCACTTGGACAACGATAGCAGAGCCGCCATCGTTCGTAGGGTCCTAACCTATGGATGGGACAGAAGCACTTGAAGGAGCAGGCTGTGTACGTGGTTCCGATAATGGCAGCGAATTGGTGTGTATTCTGGAAAGCCCCTCGATGCGATTTTTAGCAAGTCTACTAGAAGAAAATAGTCGCGTTTCTGTAGCTGCTGCAAGCCTGGCTGAGTGAGAAAGGATGCAGGAGTTCCTGACCAACATATACAGAATTTCAGATGGAATGAAGGGATATAGGGGACCTGTCGATCTATGAGGTCTATGGAGTGATCAAGGTACTTGAGGTAGGAAAACAAGCGACATGTGACCATACATGGACAGGTAGTAAAGATATTGTGGTTTGATTGTTTTGGTAACTTTCCTTCCTAAGCAGAACCAACGACGTAAAAGATGTTTGACTGATAACTATATACTAAGATGTATTTCTTCCTCTCCTCCCTATTCCTCTTCCCCTCAAGGTTGTTCAGAAACATAATGTTGAGGCCACCGCCATGAGCGAGGACTTACTCCGTCGATAATATGTTTTTGGATATGATCCAAACGCAGCGGTTGGTCTAAATCTGTAAGAGCGAGATCTTGCTGTATCTGCGGATCATCGTATTTTAGAGCCTTTTGACAATACCCGCACCAGAATCCATCAGCATGAATCGAAAAAGAGTTTTCTCTCTGTACTAAGAGCATATCATTCCAAGAGTCGCCCACTCCGTGCATCATTATCAAGTGTCTCGCGAACTCGAAACGTTGCGTAACCTTGAACGATGTATCGCAAAGCCCTGATTCATTGTCAAGGTTTGGCAGCGTGCACACCCAGTAAATGCCGTTCAGATCCTGGATTCGGTCCCCAGTGTGACTTTCTTCACAGGCTCTCCAGTCCTGTGCTTTTGAGTAAGTCCTGACGCAAAAGGTACAGGAGAATCCATCAGGGACACTGTCATGCGTTTCTTCGTGGGTCTCATGTTCCGCCATGTTGATGGATCGTTGGCCACAATACCCATAATAGCATCTGGGTAAGTGTTCACTGTGCCCATTCGTAAGGCCATTCCCATTTGTATGCGAAGTCCCGTTTGCGGACATGGCGCCTGAAAGGCTGTTGTTAGCATGAACTCATAGCCTTCACCAAGAGCAGGAACAAAATGTCGATTACCTTGGCAAAGACTGGCAATTCAAACTATAGCTCCAGGAAAGACAGATGTCAGATTTGTATTTTAGGCGTGACTTTCGTGGAGTACCCAAGGTTTGTTAGCTGGCGTCGTGATGTATACCGGCTGGCTATTCTGCTTTAGAAACCGGATCACCCCGCCCTTCATATATTTGAGGTAAGACTTGATAATCAATACTTAGGTTGAAATCCGTGATCGCCGAGATGTTACAATAAGCTTGAATCTCCTTTCATGATAGGTTTACCTCGGGCGGTAAAGCATTCATCTTCCTCGCACGAGCAACATAGATCGTCTAGGTTTCGATGTTTGAATATGTTATCATGTCACCTGTCGAAAATGAAATGTAAACTTATCAATGAACCATTCTTGAGATTGACCGCCACCAAAAGTCTGTGTGTCGTGAGCTGCATCCGTGAGCCTAAAACTTACCTGGACCCGCCTTGATGATTTCTCGGGGAGGTTTAAGCTAGACAGCCTGTAGAATTATGTGTGAAAGGCTGGCAAAGAGCTGACGAATGGCTAATACCTCTCTATTACGGTGAAGCTGGGGGCATTCATGATCCGGAATGTATTGGGCGACTTGTCGCGCAGTTGTATGGTGGCGTTCACCCTGATTCGGCAATAGGTTTGGCCGTGTAATCTTAGACAGATAGTCAGATTGCCGTCATGAGCTTTAACGATTCTTGGGCAAGGCTTTGTGGTTGCCCTGATTCTTGGATGGATTCTTCATTGAATTTTCATCAAGTGCCACTACACGATCTGTGTCCCTAAGAGTTCGAGGCTCAAAGGCTTGAAAGCCGAGTGGATGGTGTCACAAATGGGGAATGAAAGTGGTGACAAGCTTGGGATGAAACTTACCAACTATGCGTGGAACCTTGTGATACCCAAGATACAGCAATGTTGATACAAAAATGATTCGCTGACATTGCGAAACCTCCGGTAAATGTCTTAGTGTCCTGCAATGGCCAATGATCATCGGCAAAGGCCAAGGGTTTCATTGGTCAAACTCGGGGTCGGAAACGTTTCCGTTGAACGGTTAGGGGGTTATTTCTTCAATCAAGAATGCGGTAAACGACCTCTTCCCGGTCTTCTTTGTTCAAAGAATCTTCTGAAATGGATCGTTCAGCCCGTGTGTAGATGCAGCTTCATGGTGCTTAAACTCTATCTTCTATTTTGTGCGTAATAAGCCTGATGGAAGAAATGGATATAACAGCGCCATGTTGGAAAAATAGTTCAACACTGTGAATTTGTATAAGATGCTAAAAGGGCTACCACTAGTAGATACGCGTCTCGCGAGACTGAAGTGACCAATTAGTCCGGGAAGCCACTTAGCGAATCTCAGCTTCACTTGTGCGTTAAGGTCTTAGATGACCGAAAGGATTATCCAAGCACCTCCTTAATCGACCATCCCTTCTTATGTTCTAAGTATCACCTTGTACTTGAATGTTTGTCATTGAGATATTGAACAAGAAACTAGATCATGAGAGCTATATCTTAAACCCCCTCCCCTTTGACATTTATCAAACTATAGTCACGTATAATTGCCTCGCAGTGTATA